TAAAAGCTTTTCAGTCCCACCCTACCCCATCCTACCTTTGGGGTCTTAGGCGGCGTCAAGTGAGGCTGAGGTCTGGGGTGAATTACTGCAGAGCTGTGTGTTGACGACACACACTGAGTGGACAGTGAGAAAGCCTGTCAGCTTGTTAGCCCCGCTGATCCTGCCCTGTAGCTCAGGGCTGCCTTTAACTTTTAGCCCCAGGGGGCGCTAGGCACTCAGATGCTTCTTGTTGGTACGTGTAGCAGCAGTGGCTGCCAGCGAAGCAGTCTGAGCCCGATGATGAGGCCGGGGACTAGAGCCCAGCATGGAGGCTTCATGATGGGGCACCCTGGCATGCATTATGCACCAATGGGAATGCACCCTATGGGTCAGAGAGCAAATATGCTGCCTGTACCTCATGGAACGATGCCACAAATGATGCCCGCTATGGGAGGGCCACCAATAGGACAAATGCCTAGAATGATGATGTCTCATATGTCTCAGGCTTCCATGGAACCTGTTTTACCACCAGGGGTAAATAGTATGGATGTAGCAGCAGGGGCAGCATCTGGCGCAAATGTGGACTGAACATAAATCATCTGATGGAAGGACTTACTACTACAATACTGAAACAAAACAGTCCACCTGGGCAAACCGGATGATCTTAAAACACCTGCTGAACAACTGTTATCTAAATGCGCTTGGAAGGAATATAACTCTGACTCTGGAAAGCCTTACTATTACAATTCTCAAACTAAAGAATCCCGCTGGGCCAAACCTAAAGAACTTGAGGATCTTGAAGGATACTAGAATACCGTTGTTCCTGGAGGTCTTATTACAAAATCAAACCTGCATGCCGTGATCAAAGCTGAAGAAAGTGCCAAACAAGAAGATTGCAGCACATCAACAGCCCCAGTTCCTACAACAGAAATTCCTACCACTGTGACCCCATGGCTGCTGCAGCAGCCGCCAACACCAGTGCTTACACTTCTACTATCAATACTGTCGGAACTGTTCCATTTGTTCCTGAGCCTGAAGTTACTTCCATTGTGGCTACCGTTGTAGATAATGAAAACGCAGTAACTATATCAACTGAAGAACAAGCACAATTTACTAATACCACTGCTATTCAGGATCTAAGTTTTGACATATCTAATAATGCAGAAGAAACATCAAAGCAGGAAACTGTAGCTGATTTTACTTTCAAAAAAGAAGAGGAAGAGAGCCAACCAGCAAAAAACCCCATATACTTGGAATACAAAGGAAGAAGTAAAGCAGGCATTCAAAGAATTATTGAAAGAAAAGTGGATACCATCCAATGCTTCATGGGAGGAAGCTATGAAGATGATCATTAATGATCCACGATACAGTGCTTTAGCAAAGTTGAGTGAGAAAAAGCAGGCCTTTAATGCCTATGAAGTCCAGACAGAGAAAGAAGAAAAAGAAGCAAGATCAAAATATAAAGAAGCTAAGGAATCCTTTCAGTGTTTTCTTGAAAATCATGAGAAAATGACTTCTACAACCAGATATAAAAAAGCAGAGCAAATGTTTGGAGAGATGGAAGTCTGGAATGGAATATCAGAACGTGATCGTCTTGAAATCTATGAAAATGTTTTATTCTTTCTGTCAAAAAAAAAGAAAAGGAGCAAGCCAAAGCAGTTGCAAAAGGGAAATTGGGAAGCCTTAATAAACATACTTGATAATACGGCTAACGTAACATACTCTACTACTTGGTCTGAGGCCCAGCAGTATTTGATCGATAATCCAACTTTTGCAGAAGATGAGGAGTTACAGAACATGGACAAAAAAGACACATTAATTTGCTTTGAAGAGCACATTCAGGGTTTAGAAAAGGAGGAGGAAGAAGAAAAACAAGAGTTTGCTGAGAGAAAGACAGCAGCGTAAAAATAGGGAATCTTTTCAGATATTTTTAGATGAACTGCATGAACATGGATAACTACATTCTATGCCATCTTGGATGGAATTGTATCCAACCATTAGCTCTGACATTAGATTCACTAATATGCTTGGTCAGCCTGGATCAACTGCCCTTGATCTTTTCAAGTTTTATGTTGAGGATCTTAAAGCACGTTATCATGATGAAAAAAAAAAGACATTCTGAAGGATAAAGGATTTGTAGTTGAAGTAAATATTACATTTGAAGATTTTGTGGCAATAATTAGTTCAATTAAAAGATCAACTACCTTGGATGCTGGAAATATCAAGTTGGCTTTCAGTAGTTTACTGGAAAAGGCAGAAGCCCGTGAACATGAAAGAGACAAGGAGAGGCTCGGAAAATGAAACGAAAAGAATCTGCAATTAAGAGCATGTTGAAACAAGCTGCTCATAGAATTGGATGCTGTCTGGGAAGGTATCTGGGAGAGATTTGTAAAAGAGCCAGCATTTGAAGACATAACTCTAGAGTCTGAAAGAAAAAGAATATTTAAAGATTTTATGCATGTCCTTGAGCATGAGTGTCAGCATTATCATTCAAAGAATAAGAAACATTCTAAGAAATCTAAGAAACATCATAGAAAATGTTCCCACTCTCGATCGGGGTCAAATTCAGATGATGATGACAGCCATTCAAAGAAAAAAAGACAGCGATCAGAGTCCCTTTCTGCTTCAGAACATTCTTCTAGTGCTGAATCTGAGAGAAGTTATAAAAAATCAAAAAAGCTTAAGAAGAAAAGCAGAGGAGACATAAATCTGACTCTCCAGAATCAGACGCCAAGCGAGAAAAGGATAAAAAAGAAAAAGATCAGGAAAATGAAAAAGACAGAACTAGACAGAGATTGGAATCAAAACACAAATCACCTAAGAAAAAGACTGGGAAGGATTCTGGTAATTGGGATACTTCTGGCAGTGAACTGAGTGAATGGGAATTAGAAAAGCGGAGAAGAACCCTTTTGGAACAACTGGATGATCAATAAATTATACCAAAATATATTTTAAAAAAGCTTTTAAAATGACTCCAAAGATAATTAGAAAGGTCCTTGTGGCTGTCTTCCTATACAATCCATTGGATCTTCTATGGACAACTCACCCATTCTCTTTGGCTTGAACACTTTCTTGGATATTCATGACTCTCATTCAAGTCTCTGACCCTTTTATCTTCTGAATTTGGGGCAGTCATTTCTAGTCACCTGCCAGGCACTGTAGATATCTCAGCATCCTTAAAGAGCTCATGTGGTAAAGCAGAAGTATGTGCTTCTAGAAGGTGCATTTTCTTTTTTTTCCTTCTCTCTTTTTTTTTTTTCCAGTGCCCAAGGCCAGGGCATGCTAGGTAAGTGAAGTGCTTTACCACTGAGCTATATCCCCAGTCCTTCTTTTGCTTGAGCTATAGCCCCAGCCCTTCTTTTTCTTTTTCTATTTTGATAACTCCTCCTGTACCTTTGCATATGCTGTCTCACTTTCTGTCCAGCAAAATCTTTTTTTTTTTTTTTTTTTTCTGGGAATAGAACTCAGGGCCTCATGCTTGCCAGACAGGTGCTGTTCCTCTGAGCTATATCCCTGGTACCAAAAAAAAAAAAAAAAAGGTTTTTTTTTTTTTGCTGCGGTCCATCTGCTCTTGCAAACATTCCCAGACTCTCCAAGTCAGAATGCACCTCTGAGCCCTCCCAGCCCAGGAGGTGCCTGTGTTGCTGAAGCACACGTGTGGCAACTCTGATCATATAAATCATAAGCCTTGACATTACTCTCTGCCATTTGTACTAAATCACCTATCACTTGCAGGAGCAGTTAATTCTCAAGGCTCAAAAAGCCATTCTTCCTTACCATCTTCCTGGCCACCAGTTTCACTTACTTTTTCATTCATGTACCAGCTGTTTATGGGGTATCATCTAGAGGCCAGGTACTCTTCTAGGACTTGGAATATAGCGGGAAGCATTAACAACTAACAAAAGACCAGCCCTTGAAGAGTTTACTTTCTAGGAATGAGGGTAAGTATGCAACCAACATTTTAATAAAGAGATAAATTACCTTGCATGTTAAAAAATGAATTCTATAGAAAAAGCAAACAGGGGATCAGTAGAGTCAATAGTGGAGTTTGAGGTTGCAGCTTTGAGTAGGATGGTCTGCAGTGGCTCCTGGGAACATCAGGAGGAGCTAAGGGGATGAGCCAAAGGGGTCAAGAGGCCCCAAGAGAGAAGACTGGTCCAGCAGAGGGAACAGCCAGCGTGAAGGCTCTGTGGCAGTCTGGGAGCATGGATGATATGGCCAGGAGCAGCAGGGTGGTCGGCAAGGTGGCTGGATTGGAGTGAGCCAGTGGGGAGTGGTAGGAGGAGCCTCAGAGAGATAGAAGATCCCAACTATGTAGACCAGGAGGGCAGCCTTGTCATTTGCTCCAAGTGAAATGGCCCTGGCAGCTAAATAGACGGGCAGAGGAGGTCCAGAAATGATGCTGAAAGAACTGGGCACAGACTGAGAGGCAGGGTGGCAGGGATGCAAGCCCCATTACTTCCTGCCTGGACAGTTGCACTAACTTTAAATGGATTCCCCCCCCCCCCGTTCCTACCTTGGCAAACCTCCTCACACCCCAGTGTTCTCTGTATTGTGGGTTTCCAAAATGCTCTCCAGTGCCAGCCTCTGGCACCAGATCCACAGTCCAGGAAGGATCCACTGGAATCTGGCCTCTACTCACCATGCCAGCATCATCTCCCCCTGTTCTCTGTCTCTCTTACTCATGGGGCACTGTCCTCCTCTTGCATCTTTGCATATGGTGTCTCACTTTCTGTCCAGCACAATCCGTTTTTGTTAAGGTCCATTCACTCTTGCAAATGTTCCCAGATGCTCTGAGTCAGAATGCACCTCTGAGCCCTCCCAGCCTGGGAGGTGCCTGTGTCACTGAAGCACATGTGTTGCACCATAGCCTACTATTCTGTGTCTGTCTTGTTCCTGCACCCAATGTGAAGCCCCCTGGTTTTCCCTTTGCATCTTTGAATCTTGCTCAGTGCTGTGAAAAGCTCACCCAGCTGCTGCAGTGCTTCCCATTAACTGGCTTTTCCTGTTCTGTTTTTCAGATTGAAGCGCTTGTGAAGGACATGCAGAACCCAGAGACAGGAGTCAAAATGCAGAACCAGAGGGTCCTGGTGACCAGCGTCCCTCACTCCATGACAGGTGATCGGCCACTGCTTAGTCCTGGCCTGGAACAGACCCCGCAAAAGGGCTGACAAACTTGGGTACACAGGCCAAATTTGACCCACAGCCTGTATTTGCAAATGAAGTTTTATCAGAATACATCCACATCTATTATGTACTGTTTATGGCTGCTTTTACACTACAGTGGTAGAGTTAAAATATATAGCTGCGCAGAGACCAAATCGTGGCTCACAAAGCTGAAATTTTTACAGTCTAGCCCTTTATAAAATATGTTTGCTGGTTACTGAACTAGTTTTCTTCCAAGGGAAGGAGTAAGAAAAGGAGAAAGGGATTCAATAGGTGACTTGGAGTCATTCCTCCCAGGAGGTTATTGTAGGTATCTTTACTATTTTTTGCTTGCCTCTTTTGTTTGTGTTAACAAAGTCAGATATTGGGGGAATAGTGGTGTTTGGTAGGAAAGAAAATTGGCTTTTGTCTTGTTCTACCCTTCCTTACCTTCTAGTTCATACCCAGACCCTTCTGAACTCCCCCTGGCGGTGAAGCCACTGAGGTCCTCTTAGTGTGGGTTGAAGGTCTGCACAGCATCCTCTGAGGATATCAGAGAGGGGAAGGACTGGGCACCAACAGAAGAAGGAGGCATTGTGGTTGCCCTGTTACCCATGCTTCATGACCTTGGTTTTGCAGTAAAGAGTATGGATCACACCGAGGTTGGTGCCTGCAGAAGCAGACAGCTTCCTTAAGCTCAAGCCTGGGCTTTGCTCACTGTGAGCCCTTATCCTCCATCCTACCATGGCCTGACTCTGGGACCCTGATCATGAAGAGCCTTGCCGTCTCTCAGCCTGCCATTCCCTGATGGCTTGGAAGATGGGGCTCCGCCACCAGCAGTGCATCATTCAGCTGTCGTGGAAGGGAAGCCAACTCTGGCTTTTGGGGGAATAAGGGATATTAATTGAAATGTTGCAGGGCAGCTCAAGGAAGAGAAGGAAAAATTGGGGAAAGTAGGCACCAAAAAGCAGGGGCCAATGAGCAGGGTTTTCAGGGCGTCTCTGCTCTCTCCCATCAGTTAAGAGGCAACTGTGGGAATTCTTGAAAGCATCTCTGACTTCCACCCCTCCCTGCCACTTGTATGAATAATTTCTGGCTTGAATTAATTAATTTTGGACTAGGGAGCCCTTTGAGGGGAGGTATCTTGTCTTGCTCATCCGGGCAACCCCAGTGTTTCGCATGGCTGGATGGATAGGTGTGGAAATGAAAAGTTTATTAGATGTGTGAATCAGCCTTGGCCTAAAATGTGCAGAGAACATTGGATACCAAGTAAGGCACCCTAGGGTTCAGTCCTCAAGATGCCCTTTCCTTGCTGGGTAGCCCTAGCCTCAGTTTTCTCATTTTATTCCTGTCTGGGAGAAATGTTGCAGGAATGCCATGAGCATGCTGCACAAGGGCTAACATGCAGCAGATGCTCCATGGGTGGTGATGGCTGGCACTTCTCTGAGCTGTATCTTCAGCACCCACAGTTCCATTAGGGTAGATATGACCAACCCCTTTTTGCTGATGGGGCTGTGGAGACACAGTAAGGTTTAGGAACTTGTCCCCATGTCACTGAGTTCATTCACAAGTGAGCTTGGATTTGAGCAAAGCTCTGTGACTCCAGAGTCCATTTTATCTGCTGCCGGTGTGCACCAGCTGCTCTCCCACCTTGTCCAAGGGATGCACTTGGCTTCTGGATTTGGGGGAGGCTGCTCATCCTGTATTTCCCCCTTATTCCTTCTCTGTTGGTGAATTCCAGCTGCTATAGAAACAGAACCCAGGGAGGAGCCTTGGACAGTGCCAATGATAGCAACGCAATGGCCATCTACCTTCTCAGATGGCAAGTGGCCCAGGGCCTCCTGAAATGAAGGGGGCTAATGTGGGAGCCTAAGCAGCTTGGCATGCAGTCAGCATAGATCACGTGGTACCAATGTGGATGCCAAGGCCAGTGGCACCACAATCTCATTTGGCCTATTTCAGGAAACAGTCAAGTAGATGAGAAAACCCTCAGCTTCTTGGTGTAGCCTTTAAAGAGAGACTGGGTTGGGATGTTGACATATTCAGACCTAGGATTTTAAGTAGGATTTTAGATAGAGAATTTTGCTTTTTACATTGGGGATATGTAAAAATGGGGGTGATTCAAAGCTAAGAGCCACAGAAAGAAAACCACTGAATGCAATAGTGGTGGCATGTGGGCACCCATAGAGACAACGGTGGAGCATTTGGGCCCCAGGGTCTGGACATGAAGGGGAGAGACACAGGTTTCCACATCTACCCATAGCCGTGGGCTGGTAACTAATCCTAGGGGTGTGAGTGGATCATACTGGGTTGGGGTGCTTAACTCCAAGTGGCTTGTCTTCTGAGACACCAGTGCCTTTCACCTCCAAGGAGCACCTCCTGTTTGCGAGGCCAGACGGCCAGGCTGTGAATGAGTCTCAGAGGCTCCTTGGGGGGCTGCAGCAGCTCTGCACTTGCTGATGGTGCTTAGCTGGCTTTTGGCCCTTGGATAAATCTGAGGACTTGAGAGTGGGTGAAGGGGTATGCATTCTTTCCTGACATCCTTTCTTGCCTCTCCTGCCTTTTCTCATGCCAATTTTCCCTCCGTGTTGCTCTCAGACCAACCCCTAAGATTTGCCAGGCTCAAGGCAAGAGTACAAACAGAGCCTGAGTTACATTGTCCAAAGTTATAAATCAGCCAACAACAGCTTACTAAAATAGACATCCTCCTCCTACTCTGAAAAGAACCTTCCCAGCAACCTGAAGACCAGCTTCAGATTTAGAATTCTCTGGCTTTTCAGAGATCTACCTGGGAGCTCAACATATGGAAAGCCAGCCCTGCCCTCCGTTCTGCCTTCTCTCCTCCCTGGGTCTGTTTTACTCCAATGTGTCCATGCACCATCCAGAGCCCCGCAAGCAGCTGGCCTGCACTCTATTTCGTTTGTCAGTGTTTATACTCAGTCTGTTTACTGCCCAGTTTATGAATGATGGTCCATGCATACATTATTATATGGTGAAAGATAAGTACAACAAAACAGTTAAAGATTGAGTGGTGGAGGAGAGGTTAAACTGTAAATCTGTTGAATCAGACTATGGATGGCCCTGAATTGTAGTTGCAGTGTTTGGGGTGAACTTATGAGTGAGGAGGGGAATCTCTGAAGACTTTGAATAGGTGAGAGACAAAGGGACTCACAGCTGAGCAGCAAGGAGACCAGTCAGGCACCTGCGCGAAGGAGGCATGGCAGTCCAGACATACTTAGGGGGCTGTGACACTGACCAGCTACTTATCTGTTTTGTAGGAGGCGATGTTCTACAGTGGATCATTCAGCGGCTTTGGATCTCCAATCTGGGTGAGGATTTATTCTGCACTTGGTTATGGCCTCCTGCCATGTATTCAGCATCCCAGGCAAAACTAAAAGGAGGCTTCACCTGTGACTCTAAGACATACATTTTAATTGCAGACAGAACCTTCATGCTTAAAACAACCAGAATCAAAGGGAAAGGCATGATAAATCTGGGGACAAATAGTTATTTTGTACAAAATATTGAAGGCATGTAAACAACAGGAAATTGAGAAAGATTCCAGCAAGAAAGACTTCTCAGAGGGGTGAAGCATACACCTGATCTGAAAAAAAGTGATACTTTTGAATTACTAAAGGGGAGTATGGAGGGCCTTCCTGGAAGGGGAGACTAGCAAAAGCAAAGGTATGGGAACGGAATGAACAGGAAGTGGAGGGTAGTGAGGGAAAATTGGGAGAAATGGCATCACTTAGATATGGAGGCAGTGGTGGGTCCATGTACATGGCCTGTTTGCAGCTTCATGAGAGGAACCAGGGGGAGCTTTTGAGGCTGGCAGTATGCCTGATAATGTGTATTTAAGCTGCGGCAATGGGTAGCAACTTGAAGGATGGATCAGAGCAGAAGGAGCAGATGTCACACTAGGAAAAGGGCCGTTGATACAACAAGGCATAAAAACTGAGGGTCTGGTCAGTTTTTATGGAGGGAGTGGGGCTTGCAGAGAGAAGTGAATGTTGGGGAGAAATTCTTCCCAAGCCTTGGAGGGTGGAATGGGATGTGGGTTGGAGCCCCAGACAGAGTGGTCCTGGAAGCGAAGAGATGGACAGAGTGGTCTGGAAGATGGAAAGTGCCTGGTTCCATTGGTGCTTCTGAGACAGAACAAGGAAGACTTTCTTTTAATTGTTCCGAATCCAGAAACAAGGCTTTGCTTTCAAACAAAGTGGGGAGCGAGGTGGGAATTAAAGTGTGATGGGGAGGAGTGGAAGGATCTGAACCCAGGCAGAGTTGTGCTTGAGGTAGGCGACAGTAAACATGGCCTCCCTTCCCTTTTTTTTTCTTCGAGAGAGGAAGCATCTGTTGGTGAAGCAGAGACATTTTCTTACCACTCTTGTGGTCTTTTCCAGAGCCAAAGAGCCTGTACGTGCTTCTCCAGAGCTTCCCTGATCATCACCCCCAAATCGCCTACACTACGTGGTAGTGGGCCACAAGTGGCACCTGCTAGCATTCAGCTTCACTGGTTCCCATCTAGACTTCCTGGGTTGTCACTGCTGGGGAAAGACAGGGGCATCATCCCTTAAGCATGCTTCCCAGCTGATCCTTGTTCACAGCCATGGTAAGGAACCACCATCCCACTCCTCAGCGAATGAGACACTCCTAGAGATTGAGGTGCTGTGTGGGCCAGGAAGTGAGCTTTTCCTTTCAGTTCCTGCTCTTACCATCTGTGTCTGAATGCTTCTCCCCAGAGGCACAGAACTTGGGCAACTTCATTGTCAAGTATGGCTACATTTACCCTCTGCAAGACCCCAAGAATCTTGTTCTCAAGCCCGACAGTAGCCTCTACCGATTTCAGGTGAGTTTTGGCCTTGACTTTGGCCATGCATGTGGGGCTGATCTTATTTGAAAAGATACTTGGTTGGCCTCATATCCTCAGAGATCAGGAATTTGGAAATGGTGGAGGGAACGAAGGTGGTTTGATCTCTTCTGTCCCAGGGCTGAGAGTCAGTCCTTGGAGCCACACTCCAGTGGTTAAGTACGTTCTCCTTATTTTCTTTTGTAGACACCATATTTCTGGCCTACCCAGCAGTGGCCAGCTGAAGATACAGATTATGGTAACTACTTCACTCCCCCACCTATGGCTCTGGTCTTAGCACACTGCTTATTTACTTGCTGTTTTGGTGACATTTGTCTTGGTGTCATCATGACCTTTATGTCAGCTCACATCTGGCTTGGGAGTGTCCCCTGGGGGCAGAGACTGGGTCTGCCAGGCATCCTAGCTGGCACTCGGAGCAGGGAAGCCTCGTGCAGAGAGAGGCTGCCAAGGGGGGTTTGAAACATGATGATGATGGAAAATGTCACTGCTTTCTTTTCCAGCCATCTATCTAGCCAAGAGAAATATCAAGAAGAAAGGGATTTTAGAAGAATATGAAAAGGTACGGAGGTGTTTTCAAATAGAGCTTACTATAGTTGAGTCGAATATAATCTGAGGTATGGTTTTTCTCTCTTTCTTACATTACTACATTTTTCTGTACCCTCATCCATCCATCCATCCATCCATCTATCTGTCCACCCAGCTAGCCACCTATCCACCCATTTATTTATTTATAAATGGCTCATGGAAGTAAAGTTTTTCTTCCTTGTGTTTAGCTCCAGTGTCCTCTGCTGTAACTTAGGCCCTTAACAGTAGTTGTTGGTCACATGGTAACTACCTCATTCTTTTTACTGTCCCCAAACAATATGACTTAATATATGTGATAACAGGCAATGCTTGATTAACATATTTGCACTTAAGTTTATGGCATGAAAACAATAGTATAGACTTTTCTTTTAGGGTGAATGAGTCATATTTCCTGAAGAATGCACCCAAAGCCTCAAAAGGCTAACATTTCTGAAGAAGGCTGCGATCTTGCTGTGTTTTAATTCTTTAGAAACATGTTTTTAGAGCCAGGTATGATGGCACATGCATGTAATCTCAGCTATTCAGGAGGCTGGGACACAAGGATGACAAGTTTGAGGCCAGCTTGGCAACTTAGTGAGACCCTGGTTGAAGAAAAAGGATGGAGGTGTAGTTCAGAGGTGGAGAGTTTGTCCAGCATCCACAGATCCCAAGGTTCAGTCTCCAGTAACACACACACACACACACACACACACACACACACACAAAAGAAAAAAAACATGATTTTAGAAGGGCAAACATCACATTAATGTATCAATGTTCAGGCTTATCTTTGTGGATTTTTGACACTCGATTGTTGAATATTGAGTTTCCCTATTCTTCCCCCTCTCTTCCTAATCCTATTAGGGATACATTTCTTTTAAATAGAATAAACCAAGAAAACTAAGACTTGCTGTGAAAGCTTTAGAGAATTCTGTGCTGCCCCTGAAATAAACCTCTGGACAGTGGGGCAGAGGTGACTGGGCTGTCCCTGCTGAGGTAGGGAGCCAGGGACATGTCCTTGTTGGCTTAGGGCATTTTGATTGGATACACACATCCTATAGCATGGGCTGATGTTCTCATTTTGTTTTCTTTCTCTAGGAAAATTATAATTTCTTGAACAAAAAAATTAACTACAAGTGGGACTTTGTCATTATGCAGGCCAAAGAGCAGTACAGGTGAGTGAAAGGAGGGCACACCTGCTCTCTGGTTGTCCCTCCTCCTTCCTTCCTTCTTTGTTTCCTTTTAATTAAAATACACCTTTGTGGGTCATTTAAGTGCCTCACACAAGGCGAGGCACGTGGAATGAAAGGATGCAGTCCAGTGCGTTAGGCAGATGGGGAACACGCTGTGCTGCTGCTACGGTGTGAGCTAAGGGCCACATGGCAAGGGTTTGCAGAGCGAGCTGCAGAAATGACCTTGAACCTGGCAGCTGTGTAGGAGGCATCCAGGTGAAGGATATTGATAATGGCCAGGAAGGAGAGAGGGTGGGAGGAAGGATGTTCTAAGCAGGCAGAACCAGAGGATGGAGCCAGCAGAGTGCCTGCCACAAGCAGTTCCTGTGCCTGAAACAGTTGAGCGCAAAGTGTGCAAAGAGCAGAAGGTAGCAAGGTGCTTGCTGGAGATGTGAGAAAGAGCAGATCCCAACAGGGCTTCGTGCTGAGGGCCATGTGAGCCTGAGAAGGATATCGTCGGATTTGCATGTTGGAATCTACCATTCGCTTGCACTTTTCCATTGTCTACATCAGAATCAGATCTGAAAGTCGTCTGGAGGGCTCTCCCTTGTCCATGAGAGCCAGATGTAAATGCTGGGGATGGTGAAAGTGGTGGAGAGAGTGTGCTAGTCAGTTTGAGACTGAGCTGTCATAGCAAGCATACCCCAACTCTCAGATGCCTTTGTGAATTAAAGCCATACCTGTCACCAGTGCTCACAGTTCATTTGGCAAAACAGGTCATGTGGTTATGTTCAACTTCAGAAGGCAGTGAGTGGAGATGTAGGTCCCTTCCAGGGGCCCGAGAAGTGAGAGAGCCAAGGAATGGCTGATGACCTCCACTGGTGATGATCAAAACAGGTGTTTTCAGTTGGCCCAGCCGCCTCATTCTAACGGGTGCAGACCTGCAAAGGCTAGACTTTCTTGTGCACACTTGGGGTGCATGGTAGAGACTTGTATCATGGCATTCTCCTGATGCAGGCTAGGAGTGGGAGTAGTGATGAGCAATGTTATACCCAAGTGATGGTCCAGGAAAAATAAGCTGGCAACATGGCTTTATTCCTCCCAGGGCATTAAGGGGAGAGCTGTTGCTGCTCTTTAGCCATGAACATGTCACTCCCTGGGCACACTTGAGACAAAGCAGCATGGGGTAGCTATCTAATTGTCATCACTTGTATTTGCCAACAAAGCTCCATTCAGTGAGTTCTTGGGTGTTGTCTCCTTTTATGTTGGTGTGGAAGAAATGCTTAGAGTGGCAGTGATTGCCACCCACACAGGCAAGGAGACTGAGGCTTAGAGAGATTAAGATTACTTGGCTAAGAACACTGGAATAGCTTAACTCCATCTAGGGCACTCATGTTGCATTCCTAGTGGCTTCCAGCCCTGGGCTGGGTCTCAGGGACACAGAAGGAGATGTGCTCATCTTTCCAGCCCCTCCGGGCTCTCCACCTCTTCTCTGCTCTGAGCAGGATGATCCCAGCCACCTACAGGACCATGAACTCCGACATAAGCCTTCCAGGCTGCTGGAACAGCTCAGAGCTGTATTCTGTGGTCCCCCCACCCCCAGGCCCTGGATAAAGCTCTGAATGCCCAGACTCGTGGGGCACTCTCCTCCTCCATTCAATTCTAGGTGCTGTAGGATGAGTCATTCTTAAAAGTCGTTCTCTTTCCAAGATGCTGGCATTTCCCCACTAAATCCTTGGCTTAACTTGAAGGCTGCCTTTGATCTCAGATTAGGGTCTCACTAAAAAAGTGGGTGGGCCCTGTGCATTGGCCCATGAGGCCATTCTTCATTATGTGGAGCCTCCTGTTCTGAGTTCCAGACTCAGCACCCAGCTGCCTCCTCAAGGTCTCACTTGATGTCATTCCTTAAACCTAAGTTGACTATCTTTGCATCTTTCCCTCCCTCTCCAAGTCTCCTCTGCTAATATTATCTGTCAGTACAAGGGACCACCATCCACCCCACCCTCACTGGCAATGTCCAGTTACTTGGTTTTGTTGCCACCTCTTGCAGAGTCCCTTCTGCTAAGTGTGACATTTGTCTACCTCCACTGCTCCCACCCTGCTGGAGCCAGCTTTGAAATACACTGCACAGCAATGTCCTCCCAACTGCCTCTCTGCTTCTGTTTTGCTCCTGTTTTTGAAACACAGATAGGATTGTGTCACTCAACCTTCTCTAAGCTATCAGAAAAGATGTTCACTTCATACGTCACTTCCTCCAAGGGGCTTTTCTGATCAGCTATTATTGCACTCAAATCATCCTAAACCTAGTGGCTCAAAACAGTCACAATTGTTTTATTACCTGTTGTGATTCCGTACTTCCGGAACTTGGGGAGGGCTTGACCAGGCAGTTCTGACCCAGAACTTCTCAAGTGGCTGCAGTCAGACTCAGGGTGGGAAGCTGGGGTGGCCAGGAACAGCAGGCATCCTCTGCCGCCTTCCAGTGGCCCCTGGGCTGGCCATGTGGTCTGGCTTGTGCTTCCTTGAAGCATGGCTTCTTGCAGGTGGTGGAGGCTTCCAGAGTATATGTGCCAGTGAGGAGCCTGGCAGCTTCCCAGCCTCAGAAATCACACAGTGCTGTGTCTGACATACTGTGTGGGCCAGAGCCATCACCAAAGCCTACCTAGCTTCAAGGGAGGGGACACAGACCCTTCTGATATGTCCTTGTAGTACATAATGCATCTTGTTATTCTATATTTATTTCTTGACTATTTGTGTAATATTTAGACCAAAAGCTACTCAAAGGCCAGGACTATGTGTTTGGTTCACCAGTGTACTCCCATTTGTTGGAGCATAGAGGAAGGTTAATAAATACATGAATGAATGAATGAATGAACGAACAAATAGTGGTGTTAAAAACATCATAAATGACCAACTAAAATGATTCTTAGTTTGCTGGCGGTCTTGGTTTCCATCTATTGCGACTACCCTTCATTAATACCCATCACAGAGAGACAGATGCACAAAACCAGGAAGGATCCCGGCGTCAGTTAGACACTGGCTCTATTTACAAGGCTGGTGTGCAACATGGGGATCTCACAGTGCCTCCTCTGCTTATGGCCTGTGCTCCCGAGGACATGAGCTAATCAACCTGGTAGCAAATCCAGTTAGGTTGTCAAGGAGAAGCGAGAGCAGCGGTGTTTATTCTTCGTTTCCAGAGGAGGTTGGCAAAACACCCTGATGGAATGGTGCCGTTCACCCATCTGGCTCTCTGAATGTTATTATGTTATTCACAGTACATTAACGGGGAAATAAATCCACCGACTCTGTCGCAGAGAGGGCTGGTGCGTCATCTCTTGTTGCCTGGGAAAAACAAGTGCTAATAAATGTGTGCGCAGCTCGCTGCGGAAATGGGCCTGAGAGGGGCCCTAGTGCGATAATTAGTGTTCCCTCACTCCTGGAGGAGGAAGGCCCAGCGTCACCCCCTGTCCATCTTGGGAAAGGGGGGCACTGAGAAACAAGAGGGAAGCAGCCTTTTACAATCCTAAATTGAGTCCAGAAAAAGCCCTGGTTCTGTGTGAAGTCTTTGGGGAGAGAGAAGTGTCAGCTGACAGGTGGGGAGAAGAGACCAGCCTCGACCAGCAGACCAGCACTGCCCCCTCCTGAGCTCTGGCCCTGTTTGCTGCCTGCCCGCCCAGAGGTTGTTATGTCATTCACCAAAGTGGGAAACCTTGAGAGACAAAGGTTTAGTGTCGGCCCAGCTAGTCATCCCTGCTGGCTCTCATGGGGAAGCTGGCAAAGCTGATTCGATTCTAGGGCTGGTCTTGGCAGCCATGATCATTGTGGCCCATGGTCATCTGGAAGAGAAGGCCCTAGGGCCCAGTGTCCCAAGTTAAAGCCTCACCTCCGCCTCACGCTGGCCATGTGGACCCAGCTGGGAATTTATCCCTTCTTTCTTCAGTTTCCTGAATTGTGAAGTCAGAAAAGACCACTGGGAAGATGAACCAGAATTAAACAAGTTAATACATGTAAAAGTAGCTAGAATGGTACCTAATGTGTAAGTGTGGTGTTACTGTTTGCTGCTTATTATTGCAGCACACGTGAATTAATTGGGCATACAGGGAGAGTGGTCCAGGTCATCAAGAATGGAAATCATCTTGGACCAAAAGATGTGAAATATCACTGTCCTTCAGCATGGATTTTGGTTTTTCAGGACTGGCAAAGAAAGGAACAAGGCTGACAGGTATGCACTGGACTGCCAGGAGAAGGCGTATTGGCTGGTGCACCGGTGCCCTGTGAGTATCTTCTCCCCTGGGTTCCCCGACCCCTTCCAAGGCCTCCCCATGCCCTCCCTGTGCTCGCCATGACTGTGGCGAGCTCCTGCCCCTCTAGGGTTCGAATTGAATCTGCAGAAAGAGCTGCTGAGCATTGGCTCAGCATGCAGCTGGGAGAGGGCACACACAGTGTCTGGCTGGGTCTGCTAACAGCCCATCTGTTGTGTTAGGTGGCGAGGACCTGAATGAGTTTGTCTTTTATGAGGGCTGGGACTATTTTTGTTGTTGTTGTTCAAGATACTATACCTTGGGAAGGGGATAGAAGAAGAAAAAAACTAGAAAAACTAGAATACAGATCCCAAAGCAGAAAAATAAAATGCAGTGAAAACAGAGACTCTCCATGGCCGAAGCCATCTTGTGTCTCTGGCTCCCTCTTTTCCTCTCATGGATCCGGTTCCCAGCAGCTGAGCTGGGAGGAGGAGAGAAGGAGTTGGTGTGTGCTAAAGCTTCTTGTTGCTTGGAGCATATTGCTTCTCTGGCTTTGGGACTTTCAGTGGCACAGAGAGACAAGCTGTCCGTAGCTGGCGGGACTTACCCCAGTCATCACTGGGAAATGGTAGCTTCTGACTGGCCCCTGCTGGGGTGAACTCTGCCTCAGCTTCCTCCTGTCTCAGGTTCTTGTGCTGTCCCTGGATTATGGGAGGTGGGAGATGGGAAAGAGATTCCAGAAACTGAAGAGTTTGAGACAAACGTTCTTCCTCTTTCAGTGTCCTTGCCTGCTGTTAGGTGTCAGAACTTCTCAGAACCAGAGAGTGAGTTGAGTTAGGCATGGTGCCTACATTTAAAGATTTTTTAACTTCCGTCCCATCCTATTTTGGGCCTTTTGCTTATTTTCTTTCTATATTTAAAATAGATTTTCTAGCTGGGCATGGTGGTTCATGCCTGTAATCCTAGCACTCGGGAGGCTGAAGGAGGAGGATCGCCGTTGAGTTCGAGGCCAGCCTGGGCTCCATAGTGGATTCAAGGCCAGCCTGAAATACATAGTGAGACCCTGTTTCAGAAACAAAACAAAACAAAACAAAAACCAAACTAAAACAGATTCTCCTTGAGGTATTACCTTTGTAGGGGCATGGGTTTGGAGGCTGTGTGGCTCAGGTTGATCCCCAGGTAGTTTGTTTGTTTTTTCTTTGCATCAGGGGTCTTCCTCTAGGGAAACCAGTTTGCAGAGAGCTGACACAGGTTCCTGGGGGCTGGGTGTGGGTGACAGAGCACACAGTCCTGAGGACACAGTGCAAAGCACATACCTCCCTATTGGCAGGTTAGCAGTGAGGTCTGTGGGTGAACTGCATATGTCTCATCAGTTCCAGAAGATGCACACATGGGTGAGGATAAGGGAAAATGGCAAGTATGCCAGGCACCGAGCCAGGTTGACCCCATGCCCAGTGGCACCATGACCAAGGGATCCCTGCTCCTTGCAGGGTGGAGAATGCTTCTGTTGTACACGCAGAGACTCCACGGTGTGAGAATGCTGATGTGGCTGTCTTCCTTGCAAAGTGACAGGCTTGTTGTGCATGTGATCTTCCCAGAGTCCTTTCCTCCCTCTGTCCCTGCATCCAGGAAGCCCATAGAAAAGAAAATGAATAATCGACCACCAGAGTCTCTCCAGTTCTCCTGGAGTAAGCTCTCAGCACCCCCTTCAGGCAGTTGTCTGAGTGACTCTTTACAGCATGACAGAGGACACATATGACAGTTGTATCTATGACCATCTTGCGCCTCCTCCTCCTCTATGTCTGCCACCATGACCTCCATCTCCACCCCCCTTGGCCCACCACTGTATCCACCTCCACCACCGACATCGTGATTGTCATTGTCATTCTTGTTATCCTCATCGTGGGACTCACAGTGTCCTGGGCAGCATGCTAAGTGCTTCGTGTGCACTGTCTGATTTCCTCTTTTCAGCCTGGGTGGAAGGCAGTGTTATCATTCTCATCTTATAATAAGCAAGCTGAGGCTCAGTGATGTTGCTCATTCGCCCACAGTTACACAGTCTGGAAGTGACAGAGGATCCAGTCCCTCTGATAGTCGACTTGGAGCCCTCCCTTGTGGTCTCTATGCCCTTCGCCTCTCATGACAATGGCCCCTAATAGCTTAGTGCATTTCCATGAGGTCATTGCCCGAGTCACTGCTGTCCCAACAAACACATCACATGGGTGCATATGTCCCTGGCCCTTCTTTGATAGCATGGAGGACCCACAATCAGAGCTAGGCTCCCAGCACATGACACCGCTCTTCACATCTCATCTACCTCACTGCTGCTCTCCTCAGTGGAAACCAGACCAGTGGCTCATGCCTGTAACCCCAGCTATTTGGGAGATGGGGCAGGATGATCAGCAGGTCGAGGCCCGCTCAGGCAACTTAGCAAGACCCTGACTCAAAAAAATTTTTTGTGGTGCTGGGCATTGAACCCAGGGCCTTTGCACTAAGCTACATCCCCACCCTTTTTATTTCTTTTTAAATTTTGAGACAGGGTCTTTCTAAGTTGATAGGTTATCCGGGCTGGGCTTGAACTTTTGATCCTCCTGCCTGAGACTCCCAGAGTGCTGAGATTACAGGTGTGTGCACCACCATGCCCTGCTTCAAAATAAAAAATTTGAAAAGGGACTGGGGAGGTAGCTCAGGGGTAGAGTACTTGACAAGCATGTGTGAGGCCCTTGTTTCAATCTGTAGGACTGCAAAAGCAGCAAAGGCATGAATCCACCTGGATCTTCCCTCCAACTCTCCTAAAACACTCTGCACTTCTTTCATTCGCATGCACAGGGCGGACATTTGAGGAGCATCACAGCCAAGAACAGAGCAATCTGTCTGACAAGCCTAGGCAGCCTGGGAGCCTACAGACTGTCAGATTGTTTCCAGGAGACCCAAACAAACCACCAGTGCAGTCGTGGCAAACCAAACATCTGGCTCTGTGGATGCTGAGCAGCCACTCTGTGCTCTGACTGTAGCCACCGGCTAGTGTGACGATTCATTCACCTGCTCATTTGTGTGTTCATTAATCCACAAAACCCTCTGTGCTGGAAAAGGAGTTAGGTGCTGGGCAAGAAGTCATTGAGCAGCTACTGTGGGTGTGTGTGAAGCTCTTGGCACAGGTAGGCTCATTCACACCCAACGACGATGCTGTGGAGTAGGGAGTACCATCATCCCATTGCTCAGAAGGAGAAATCAAGGCTCAGAGCATTCGGCCTGATCAGTGCTGGACTGTGAATCCACATCTGTGTGATGACTAAGCCCTGCAGGCTGCTCCTCTGCAAGGAGCATGTCTCCTTTGTCAGCTCAGTTAGCTCAAAATCCAAATTACGACACAGGAGGGTAGCCCTCCCCCAGAGATGAGACCCAAGCGTGGAGGAGGCTCCGTGAGCAGTGACTGATTTGAGGTACCGTAGGCAGGTTGAGAGGCCCATGTCGGATGCTGCATGGGGGTTGGCGCCATTGGCAGAGGCCAAGATCAGACGTGGGTGGTGGTAGTTGAGGACTCTGACCCCAATTCCATCCAGAGCTCAAATGCCACCTGTGATTCAGCCTCCTGTGGTGAAGGGAAATGTTGTTCCTCTTTTGTTTTTCACCCAATGGGTGATGCAAACAGTTAATAGTGTAAAGGAACACAGGGACAGGTGGTCCCTTCAGCAAGTCATTTTGGGGGCCTTCCCTGCATCTTTGCTGTCCCACCTGTGACTTGGTGCCTTGCAAGGGTGTGATCCGTGACTGCGTCCTGGTTTTGTGGGTAGAGGCTGCCTTCTGGCTGTGTGCCCTAAATCAAATGATCAAGTGTCTGATTAACAAGCCCGGTGGCCCTTGTTTCACCCACCTCTGCAAACACTCGCTCTGCAGAGAAGGAGATGTCTGTCTTCCATTTCTTGCCAGGGCTGGGCTAAATGCTTCAAGACAGAGAAGGGCACAATAAATTAAAGTACATCCAACATGATGGAACATTGTGAAACTATTCAAAGGACATTTTCAAAGGCCATTCATTGACCTAGAAAAATGGTCTGACATAAAAACAGTAGAGAACACTCCATAATCTGGTTCAAATTAAAAAACTCAACCTATACTTTGTGAATGTCTGCTGTATGCCAGATGCTTAGCAGGATACTTGGATTATGGAGGATATTTGGATTATGAGCCAAGACAGACATGGCCTGTGACCTCAAGCAGCTTACTACAATTTGGTGGAGAGACAAAGACTATTACATAAACAAATAAGCAATGTACAGAATGCTATGGCAGCTCGTAGGAGGGGGGGCCTGCAGCTCTCCGTGGATGAGATGTTCAAGCCAAGATGCGCTTTGAGCTGACTTCTCACCCTCACCCAAAATTATCTCCCCATTTGTTCCAGCCTCTCCTCTCCTCTCTTTTCTCTTCCCCTTACTCTTTCTCCCTCCTGTCTTCCCATCCTTTCCTCTACCTCTGTCCTCCTTCCTCTCTCCTCCCTTTCCCTTATTCTGCTTATAAAACAATTTAGTGCTTTATTTCTCTTTATCCTTTGCATCAAAAGGATCTGATGCTTTAGGAGAAAGAGTGAGGACCAGCAAAGGAGATGAGCAGTAGAGAAGAGACAGGAGTGACAGGGGAGACGGACACCTAGCAGTGCTCCACACTGGCACTGCTCTGGAGTGGACATTCCTGGGAATGTCACTGCCTTATAAAGCAGTTGTTGCAAGTATACAAGGTCTTCCCCAATCTGAGCCTTATGTTTATACTGAGGGGTTATGGTCAGGGCATCATATCCCGGCATTGCAGTCCTTCTGATTGATGTGGGGAAGCTTCCATGATGTCTCTGGAGCACTTCCTGCCTGTGGCTCCAGGGCAGGAGCATCTGCCTGCCTCCTATCTGCTGGCAGCACTTTGCAGAGGTTTGTCAGTTGCCCTTATTTCCTGTGCAATGACAGTCAGCTCTTCCATGGAGCTCCCCTTTGTGGGCTAGAAACTGTGTCAGCAGTGGCTCTGGAGACCATCACAGTGGACCAAGAAATGAGCTACCTGAAGGATATATGAGTGAATGAGCAAATCAGTGAGCTAGGATTCTTCTAAAGGAGAAGAGGCAGAAAGACAGCCCCCCAGGGGTGAGGATTGAAGGCAGGGCACCAGGTAGGACCACAGCTCCATTAGGAACAACTGAGATGTAGTGGGCAGCTGCCCACAGAAAGACCCCAGGGAGGCAGGAGTGGAAGCAGCACGGTACCTGGTGGTACCTGGCTGTCCCCGAGAGCTGGCAAAGGAAGCTAGGATCGGGGAGAGGTTAACTGGATGGAAGAATAAAGTCCAGAGGTGGAGATGGTGGCAGGCCTGACAGTCCAAGGCCATGCTGTCGGGAATGTCCCTGATTTCAGTATTGCAGGTGGACTGTTGAGCTCCAGGGCAGTAGAATTTGTGCAGAGTGGGGGGCGAGTTCACAGGAAGAGATGGGTGACTGAGTCTGGTGACATTGCCCAGGTGCCCAGGGCTGAGTGTGGTGTCCAGAATGTAAGAAGGGCCACATAAACGTTTGCTGATGGAGGCCCACAGGGGACACTAGTATAAGAACGGGGCTCCCTTTGTCTGCCTTCCTCTGCACTCACTCTCTATTGCCTTCTTTTTTTCCCTTCCTTGACTAGGCTGTAGGCTCAGTTTTTGCCTCCAAGCAGCCTAGTGAACTACATTACCAGATCTAGCAAATTAAATATGGGGATGTCATATTTAAATTTTAGGTGAAAAAATTTTTATATAAAATATTTTCTATTATTTTGCATTTTTAGTATAAATATACAATAAGTATAAAAATATTGAGACATAAATCATTTACTGTACACCTATAATTCCCTGGAATCCCAGGTTGGGTTCTGGCAGTCCTAACTCTGCACTAAGTATGTTTCCAGTCCCACTGGTGTGGCTGAAACTGGTGAAGAGAAAGCTAGGTGCTTCTCAGCCTTCTCCTTCAGTGTAGTCAGCCTGGTTAGTAAGAGGTACCGAGTACTTAGTGGGTTCCTTGGCCTGAAGAAGGAAGTGAAAGACCTCAATCGCCAGCCTCAAGAGGTTGGGAGAGACCGAGTGAGACTGGCCAGAGTGTTGGGTTACCCAATACAGAAGTGGGAACTGATGAGTATCGCAGACCAGCTTAGCTCCCACCTTCACATATGATGTGTGATCTTAAGGTGCATACGGCCCCTTGCTCAATTCCAGCTACCTTCTGTTGACAGTGTCACCCCATCTTTTTAAATCCTCACAAGACCCTGCCAGGTAGGAGGCATCATCCCTGTTCCCCACATGGGTCAGTGCACGTAGGAAGAAGTGGTTTTTGAGATCTTTGGCACAGCTGAGAAGCAGCAGAACCAGGATTGGAAACCAGAGGTAACCAGGATGTTACTCCTCTAAAAAGAGCCAAGACAGCAACTTCAGAGTGTGGGGGAAAGAGCACTGTGGGAGGAGTCAGGAGTTTCATATATTAATCCATGTGAACTTTAATTGAGCTTGATCATCCATCCATCCATCCATCCATCTATCCCACTATGGTGTAGAGATGGCATCCATCTGTTCACTCATCAACCCATCTTTCTATCCACCCATTCTTCCACCCACTCACATTGCCATCTATCCTTCCATCCCACTGTTAGGCTCTGGGAAGATGTGGTGGCAGAACAGCTCCCATGAAGCTCCTCAGCTTACTTGGAGGGTTTATGCATCTTCATATCACCTCTTGGGCTAGGTCACAAGTCCTCCTCAGCTGTCTCACAATCAGCATCTTGGTGAAGTTAAAGTTAATCAGAAGAAACTGGAGACTCCTGTAGTGATCCTTATATTGCTTTTATTCCTTCCAGCCAGGAATGAACAACGTGCTGGACTATGGCCTGGACCGCGTGACCAATCCGAATGAAGTGAAGGTAAACCAGGTATGCCTGCGCTGTCCTCTGAGAGTCTGGGAAGCTGTCCACATGTCCAGCATGTCTACAGAGGCAATGCTTTCTCCCCTCTGAGAGTGCTACTATGATACACTATGGCTCTGTGGGGTCAGGGTCAAGGGAGAGGGAAGGCCATGGCCAAGTCCTGGATAAAAAGAGCTCATCAGCGCGGGGAGAGAGAGAACATACAGTGCGTGTCAGAGCAGATGGCGTCTATGTGGTTGGTTTTCAGTCTTTTCTGAGTCACTTCCTTCTTTGAAAATCTGATGAGAATTACGAGCCTATCCTACCCCAAGATGCACGGACAGATATTTTACACAAAATTTCAGCCAATACCTTGATTCTAAGAAGATTACAGGCCCTAGGCTCAAAACCCTTGAATCAAACATCGATTTAAACCTTAATCCACACAACAGGCACTAGAATACCACACTTTCTTTCATATCTCTCTGGGGATCTTTCAAAGATTCTCAGACATTATTCATTTTAAAAAGACCCTTTCTACAAACAGGTCACCTTTTGTAATGCTTAGCCAATTTCTTAGGGATTTTTCCCCCTTAAACAAATTCAGTTTGCAAGCTATTAAAACCATGTCACTGTTGACATTTTAGGCCAGACAGTTCTTCAGCAGGTTGTCCTGGTGGTGTAGCATAATTACCAGCATCTCTAGCTGCTACCCATTAGATGTCTCCATTCTTCTCCCTCTTCCTCTTTCCTAGTCCTGACAATCAAAAATGTCTCTAGACATTGCCTACTTTACCTTGGGGAGGAAGTCACAATTGCCCAAGATAGAAAGAACTGGTCCCAGTAATCTCGCATAAAATACATTTAAACTTGGGTGGTAGTCATTGCTTTCTGTCCAGCATTGTTTTGGGGAAGCAAGTGGCTGTCACCTCTTGTGTGTCCTCTGTAAGGTACAGCTGTGCCTTAAGTCAAGTGTGGGGGCCAAAGGGGTGTACTGGGAAAAGCAGACCGAAAGGGAAGGAGAGAGAGAAAGGAACAGGAAAAAGGTGGCTCTGGGACATGTGGAGAGGGACACTGTGTCCCTAGAGAGTGTCACCAGGGGAATTGTTAGGTTCCTTGTCCATTAGCCAAAGTGACCCTTCCTGTGACGCACATGTTGCCATCAGCCTTCCCAGGGCAGCCTTTCCCATGTCCCCCTTGTCAGATAACAGATCTCTGTTGAGCCCTTGTAGGTTCAGTTGCCATGGAAACAGAATCATTGAGTAAAATAGAGAACCCCGGGTGGAAAATATGCTTTTTTTCTCTTTTTTAATGGATAACTGGCTGCTCTGGAAACCTCTTCTCTTTCCTGTGGAGGAGAAGGAGGAGGAGGTGGCAGAGGTGGCGGAGGCAGAAAGCGTCACTCACCCTGCCTTCAATAGGGAGTGGGGGTGGGGGGTGCGGCTGGGCTGTGACTGAGCCTCAGCTCTGGGGGAGGGGAGGATGGGGCGAAGCCTTCCCTCGAGCGGTTTGAGGGCAGGCGCTGACCTGCTCCACGTGGGTGTCATGTTAGTCGGGGTGACTTCCGAGGAGCCGCGTGGTCCTCACAGGGGAGCATCCTCCTGTTCTCTGGTGGTGCCGGAGGGAGGGACCTGCCTCTGGCTTTCACAACCACCTGGTGCCGGCTGCCGGCTGCTGGCTGTGCCGCGAGCTGGGAGCAAAGAGCAGCCCGGAGGGGAAGCTGTGCTTACCCTGCTGCTTACACGTCGTCTCTTTCTCTCTCCCACCAGCTCTCTCTCTCCTGTCTGTGCACCATGGCTGCCTGGAGTAGCAAGACTGAGCCCCGGGGTTCTGTGCTCCAGATCCCTCCGCAGCTTCTGCCACCCCAGTGCCTGCCAGACCCGGCAGTGCAGAGCCGTAGGCTGCGCTGTGCTTTACCTCTTGGCACCATTGTCTGCCTTCTCAGTGCCCCCATTTCCCCAGTCACCTGCCCTGAGAGGGAAGGGTCATGGACAATTCCGAGAGTCTCCATCAGGCCGCGGGAGTGTAGAGGTTTTGTGTTTTGTCTCAGCTCAGAGAGCTCATGGGGCCTGCGCTGGTTAGAAGAGAGGTCATTTCTGAGAATGAGTGAATTCTTGAAAAGATGTCTATTTTCCCTAAGCTGAGGCAAAAACCCATCAAGGGTAAGAAAGGAGGCTGGTATCTTGGCCAGTGTCTGGGTCCCTGGGTGACCCGCTCCCTCAGGCTGGTGGGCCTAGCCCTGGGGGGTCTTCTCTCAGGCCAGGGGCCATGCCAGGGGCTGTGCAGGAAGTGCATCCCCTCTCAGTTCTGACACCCTGAGCCACACTGGGTGCTGAGCATGTGTAGCTCCCCCTTCCCTTTGCTGAAGAGAGAATTTGGACCCACATTCAGGACCCAGAGTGGACACCAGGCACTGGCCTGGCTGTGGCAGTGATGTGCCCAGGACTGGTCCTACCTGCATCCCCTCCACCCCAGGAAGTGCTGCTCATGACCGGGTTAACCACTGCCATCTGGTGATGAGGGACGTGCACTGTGCTGAAGAGTGGTGACAATGGATGAACTCAGCTCTACCACTCCTGGCCTGTGTGATCCTGGGCAGACTCATGAGCCCTTCAGACCTCAGTTTTCTCACCTACAGAATGGGAACAATGATAGTTCCTTCCTCACACGATTAAACAGGATCGTTAATGTGAAGTGTCTAGCACAGTATCTGATAGGTGGAGATGCTCCACAAACAGCAGTTGTTATTATAGCTGTCCGTGTTGTTAGGGAGATGATTTATGTGGGGTCCTACAGACCCTTGACTCAATTTGGGGGGCCAAACTAAGCCAGTTTCCTCTTCTGTCCTTACACATTCCCATACTGTGACCCAGCTATAGGGAGGAAGTCACATGCAGATTTCATCTTCTTTTCCTGGTCCCGTAGCCAGCTGCTGAGTACAAGGCAGAAATCTGGCTCTGAGGTGTTATACTTGGTGCTCTGCAGCGCACTCAGCCTGTAGCCCTCAGTGAGCAAAGTCCTTTGTGTGCTCACACTGGTGGGGAGCTAACTGCTTTCTTCTCGTGGGCCCTTGTGTGGCCCTGGCTGGATGGGGAAGGGGCAAGTGCAACAGCTGACACTTGCTGATTCCTTGCTGTGTGAGGCAGGGAGCCAAGTGCAGCACACCTGGCACCTGCTCAGAGAAGACCACGCCCACCTTAGGGGCAGGAATGGAGTGCGCCTCCCGGATTCCCAGCTGAGGAAGCAGGTCGAGGGAGGGAGGACTCACAGTTAAGATTCTGATTTAGCTCAGCACCACCCCTCCCCACCATTCCCAGGCCTAGGTCCTGCATCCAGGGCCCCTCCACGGGCAGGTGACTTGTAGAGTCCCCAAGGCTCCACACTCAGAGGACCTTTGCTTGGTTTAATGTTTTGTCACCATCTTAAAATTCTCTACTCAGTTTGTCTGGAGAAAGGGCTGGACAGTTTCGTTTTGCACTGGCCCCTGTACATGGTGAGCAAGTTTGCCTCCACGCTGTCAGGAAGTACCTAGCAAGACCGGTATTAGCTTCCCATGATGGCAATTTTGGGTTCTCCTTTCCTTGGATGGTGCCTCTCCTTGATTTTCCTGTCTGCTTTGATCGGTGACTTCTGTTGTTGGGTTTCCTGGTTTCTGCTTTTGCCCCTCTGTGGTTCCTGCAGATGCTGCAATTCCTGCTGGTTCTTTCCACCTCCCCCACATTGCCTCTACCTCTGTTTCGTTCCAGATTCCTGCCTGGCTGCTTCATCCTGAGCTTGGCTTTCCCCGGGGCTTCCTCCCTTCTATCTGTCAGTGGCATCAGGGCCTCTCAGGCATGGCCCTGACCTCTTTTGCTCTGTGATAGTTGTCTACAGCTTCCATCTGGCTGGACCAAGAGCTGCTGTGTAAACAAGTCTATCTCTGTCCCTATTTGGGAAAAATCTGCAAGTGAAAAAATAATAAGTTGTTAGAATTCCAGGAATGCAGAGCACTCAGAGATTCCTGAGGCAAAATATTCTCAATGTGGCAAAGTGTATCACTCGGGCAGGGGACAGAGGTGGCTTCACTCTAAGAGTGCCAGCTTCTGAGAAAGGAAGGGACTTGTGTGCAAAATCTAAGAGAACAAAATGTTCCTATTTTATCATGAGGCAATTTTCCTTGAATTGCATAGAATTGTGTGTGGGTGTGTGTACTTTTAATAACTTCATTTCAAAATTATGTTTCTTATGACCTCTGGCTAAGTAATAATAATATTGACAGTAGGTTTGTAAGATTTAGCAAATAAAAACACAGGATTTCCAGTTACATTTGAATTTCAGATAAACAGTGATAACATTTTTAGTGTGAGTATATCCCAACCATTGCCTGGGCTTAGTGTTTTATCTTGTAATGAGGGCTAACATCATTCCCTACATGTGTCATATATTAGAAGCAGTATCTTAACCCTAATTAATAGCCACTGTTTGTTGAGTCTCCACAATATGCCAGTCACTTGTGTATATGATCTCTTTTATCCTCTTCCCTTCTCCCCGACCTGTTTTCAAATGAAAGCCAAAGGTTCTCAGATGCTAAATCACTGGCCCAAGGTCAAATAGCTAATAAATGGTAACTAAGATTTTAGTCTTTGCCTGACTCCCATAAGCTTTTCTGAACCACTGCCCATCTCCCAGACAACATTGTCTTTCTACCTTTTAGAAAAGTCCAGAGCCCTTTCCCTGCCATGCCCCGATACATAGACCCCTGGAGAGGCAGAGATACCTGTGTGCCTAGATGAAGCTGATCCTGTGAACAGCTATTTTTAAAGCTAGAAATAAAAGCTAAAATTCATACAGATAATCCAAGGTACAGGCGAGGAAGCCTCAGATTCACAAGTTGAGCAACCCTAAAACAAAAATCGGAGATTTGAAATGCTCTGAAAATCTGAAACCTTTTGAGCACTGACATGATGCTCATGGAAAAGTTCATGGCGTGGAGCTTTGTTTCGTGCACAAAATTATTAAAAAATATATAAAATTACCTTTGGTCTATGTGTATAAGGTGTACATGAAACAAACATTTCGTTTTAGACTTGGACCCTGTTCCCAGGATATCTTGTTATATACCTGTGTGTATTCCAAAATCTGAAAAAGAAATCTGAAATGCTTCTGCACCCAAGCATCTGGGATAAGCACCTGTCAACCTGTATTACAGAGCATGCTGGAGTCTGGTTCCCAGAAGTCAGCGGGTAATTCTGGGGACCACATAGCAAATGGGAAACCACAGCACAGAGGCAGAGTTCTAAAAAGATAATAAAAGCAAATAAAATTTTAAAACTATGAAAAATTTAAAACCATGAAGACTGAAGTAATGCCCCTTGAAGCAAATGTATTAGACCAGGGGAAGACAAGGACAAGGAGAGCAGACATATGTGTGCGTGTGGCTGGGACTTGCAAGTACGGCTCCCACAGGGTCTTGAGAACACCAGGACAGCCAGAACCCACTTCATCCCTCTGTGTCTGTCCACCCGGCAGCTCTGAGCCCTGGGAACTGGCCCTGGGACAGTGACTGACAGACAGATTGACTGTGGGTCCTGGCACTTCAAAGGACGGAACCCATGACACTGGCTACTGAGCATGAGCCTAGGGAGGAACTGACAAGAGGGGCAGGCAAGGTAGGAGAAAAGCAGTAAGTCGAGTGATTTTCTGTTGCTCATGGAACATTCCTCAGCATTGCCAAGGGCAGCGCTGGATTTGGATCGTGGCTCAGCCAGTTACTAAGCAGATGTTGGGAAAGTTTCCCACAACCTCTTAGATTCCTCGATTTTCTCTGGAGAAAATCAGAATGGTAAAATCTCCCTAATTAAGATTTATAAAGACTCTAAAAGGTGAAAATTGCTTTGTGGTATTTCCCAGGCAGTTATTATTATGCAAAAGTCCAGCTTCTCCTTGGAGCAGCGGTCAGAGATCATTGGATACTATTTTGAATAATCCACTTCAGCAAGACTCCAACAGAAGGATCTGATTATGTTAGATTTAAGTGCAAGTCCACTCGGGGGCCTTTTCTACCTGGAATGCAAATCTTCTAAAATAGAACAGGAGAAAATAATTGTGGTTGGCAAAACATTTAGATCATTTGGGGATAAAAATTTTAAGTGTAAAATACTCTAATAAACTTAGAAAGAGTTCCCATTGTTTCTAGGCTTCCAAGAGCACTGTACTGTAGTCAAGAAATATTTGATATTTGTTGAGCACTTATCCTACATCAGACAGTATGTTAGGGAAGATAGACATAGTTTTCCTGCTCTTAATGGTTCCTTAATGGTGATACATACATTAAAAGAGTCACATAAACATATATAATTAAAATTGTGATGAATGTTATGAAAGAGTAGATCCGGATGTGAGAGAGTCCAAAACAGAGACCTACCTGAGCTTTACCTTGCTGAAACAACTCTCCTTATGCCCCCACCTGGGAAAAGAGCTCCAGTGAAAAGCAAGCATATAAAAGCAATCCAATGAAGCAAAGTGAAACCCTGCATAGATTATAAAGGAGAGGTGAGTACATGACTTTCTAGATTGGGACTTCCTTCATCAGTGGGCTCATGAACTGGTGCTTATTTTGCCCACTGGCTAAGGGAAAGCAGTGTGTTCCTTGGGCTTCAGACTATTCTAACTTCAGCCTATTCTAACTATTGAAAATTTGGTTGGGTTCTGTAGCATGGATACGAGCAGGCACAAAGTAAGAGGCTCAGCTTGAAGTGTGAGAGTTGCACAAAGCAGCTCTTGGAAATAACTGTCTTTAGTTACTCTCCTTGTTGCTGAGACAAAACACCTGACACCCAAACTTAAAGGAGGAAAGGTTTATTTAGCTCACGGTTTGTAGAGTTTTCAGTCCATAATCGGCTCGCTCCAAGGCAGGGTGGCACAGCAGACAAGCATTGCAGAGGAGAAACAGTTTATGCTGGGCAGAAGGTAGCAAAGCAACAAGGGACCACAGCTCTTTCTATCCCTTAGATCATATCCTTAAGAAAAGTACTTAGGGAGGGTAGCACTCATACACTTAATCCTTAGCATCCTTGATCCTAGCATTGCATCATGAATCAATTCCAGTGTTACACAATCTAGATCCAGCCACACCTTTGCCTGAAAAAGCCCCATCTATGCCTCCATGAGGCTTTGGGGGGACATCTAGACACAAGCCATAACAATAACCAAGGCTAGGAAAACAGACTGGAATTACCACTCTACACAACCTCAAGCATTGGGGTAAAAAAGTAGTACCAAGGAAGCCTGTCCTTTCAGGTTGTAGAAGGCCTATGTATATCAGTTGGAGACAGATCTGAATAATCAATCCCCAGGAGCTTCTAAGAGCCAAAATGTGGAGCCCTTCTTGAAGCCATCCTTCCTGTGCCTTAGCTTCAAAAGTTCTGAGAGGACACCCTGCAGCCCAGCCCAGCATGAACTTGGTTTGGCAGCTTGAGCAAGGGGACGGGGCTCCATGTGGCTGTCCTACACTACAGCTCAACTCTGGGACTCAGCTGGCAGCAGATGCTAGGATTTTAATTGTGTGCTTTATTTTTGACAATGTGGCTTTTTTGGTTGTTTCAATTTGTTTGTTACATTAGTCAAGTTGTCATAAATATCTGGGAGTGAATATCACCGTTCAGTCAGAACTCTTCCCTGTGAGGAAAGAACACTCAGGTGCACATTAGTTTCTCCATCTTTTTCTCTCATTCTGTATCAGTGAGAAGTGAAGATTCCTGTCATTATCTTCCCATCCACAGATAATTCTGTAGACACTACAGGAAGTTGGGACCAACTCCAAACTTAGTCTTTAATTTATCTTGATTTTTAGGAGAGCATCATGAAATTATAGTGGTAAATTAAACTCTGTTCCTCACCACATCTCTTATTGATGTTTTTCTTCAGAATAGGGTAGAGTCTGCGGTGATGGGGAAATCCTACCTTTTAAGAAAAGATAGACAGTTTTCTCATGAGGAAGGGTATTTATTTTTCAAATGAGTATTTGAGCTGTAATGATTTAATGAAGATTGGTTTATTGGTTTTGCTTTTTTTGTTTTTCAGACACAAACAATCACAGCTGTCAGAAAAGAGGTAATTAGTCTCCCAGTTCCAGTGAAGTTTGATTTAAAATCCTTTAGCAAATAATACGTACTTTGTCTTTATGCTCTACACTGGGTAATGAAATGAAGACCATGTGTAATGTTCACACAGTTTTTTCCAGATTAACAGTCAGCACAGAATGACAAAGGATCTTTTGTAAGATCTGAATTGGTGAGGAGACTCAGGAAGTGAAACACTCCTTGAAGTCACACATCTGAGGGATAGAAAGAGAGGGCTGTGGAAATAAATACTGCATAGTGTCTCTGCCTCCAATCTGGCCACTGTTCTTGCAGCTCCAGGGCCATCCAGAATCTATTCAAGGAGACAAACTACCTATTTTACCCAGTCCTCTATATAGGGCCCAAGACAGAGCCCTGAGAAGCCTTGGCCATTGAGGTGGCATATGTCAATGGATACTTTGGGAGCAGTTGAGGAGGGGATGGCTTGCTTTCATAGATGCAGAACCAGAAAGATTGAATATGTCCCCTTTGGTGGGGACCATACTACTTCTGTCAGCCAGAAGCATGTAAGGGAAAAGCCAAGCATCTGGCCCCATGCTTTAGTTTAATGCTTTTGGGGACTTTTTTTTTTTCCATTGGGTAACTTTTTGCAGACCAACATTAAGATATGCTGAGGCAGCCACTAGTTTGGAGTATGGGGTCAACTCTCCACTGTGGGTCTGAGTCCTGTTGGTACTGGGGTGGCTGGCTTGAGGGAATGGGGTGGGCTGTTGTTATGGATAATTGGCTTCTAGTTTTGGGGCCATATATAGTATCAGTTAGTGACATGTAAGGGTGGGGAGGTGGACATCTTTTAACAACTGTCTCTCTTCCAGATCATGTATTATCAACAGGCCTTAATGAGGTCCACCGTGAAGTCTTCAGTGTCCCTTGGAGGGTATGCCCCTGATTTGTTGATCTTGCTAAGGTTTCAGTGGTAGGTAGGCAAGAGGAGAACTTCTGCTTTAAGGCAAACTGGACAAGTTGTGAACTGACTGACTTAAGATCTTAAAGAACTGTGATGTATAAGCCCAGTTTCTTGGCGTTTATTTTCTAGTTTTTCACTTAGAGTAAGTCTCTCGGTTTCGTCTTGGGGTGGGCAAGATCGAGGGTGGGTGAGGTTGTATGAAATCCCTGTTTCTTGGAATTCACTGATGTGTGGGAAGAGTAGCAAGCCCATGGACTGGACCCTGGGAATCTGGGCAGCCTGCATCGCCGCCACCACCCACTCACATTTGTTGGGGATGTGTGGGTTGTGCTGCTACATGCCCATGGCTAATCTTTTTTTTTTTTTTTTGTACTGGAGATTGAACCCAGACCCTCCACACTGAGTTATATCCCCAGCCCTTTAAAAATGTTTTATTTTGAGATAGGGCTTCCCCAAGTCACTAAGGTGCCTAGATTGGGCTTGAACTTGTGGTCCTCCTGCCTCAGACTCCCATACAGCTGGAATCAGCACAGGTGTGCACCATCAAACGTGGCTTCCATTGCTAATCTTCAATTCAAAAGAGTTTAGATTTATTGGAAATTTATGTTTCATTTATTCAACTTTCAGGTTACCCGATCCAGTATCTGGGAGATAAAAAAGGGCTTAAGAGCTTCCCAAACACAAGCAGTTATCCTTTTGAAATGTGAAGTTCATTTTAGAAACACCTTGATAATTCTGAATTTTCCTGCACACATAAAAATAAAGCTGGCCTACCCCTTAATAATTTATTCTGACCGTGTAAGACTTAAACAATGGCACTGGATACTATTGGGATGAAAGAGGCTGTGGTTGGTACAGTGCTCTCCTTCCCATATGGTTAGGAGTTAGGGTCTCATAAAAGTCTTCAAAGACCTTTCACATTTTATCAAATTTGTAGTTTGCAAAAGTGCCACCTTCACAGAGAAAATCTCCCGTGACCCCACCCACATTTTTCAGTGACCTCACCTGGTGCTGCTGAGCCCTGGCTATACATGAGAAGTGTACCCTATCCACTTTGGATTATGGTGACAATTATTGCTCTATGGTAAACCCAAAACCGTTTATTATGAAACAGGCTTCATGAAATGGAAAGATTATTGAAGGTGACATGAAGCCTACTGGATACTTCCTAGACCCACTTTCCCATTTTGGAAAAATTGTCTCAGGCCCTCATTACCATAATTTTGCATCATTAGCATTTGGACTTGTGAACCAGTATTTTCTCGCTCTCTAACTGCTCCCCTCAGAGTCTGATTGAAGAATAAGAGCATCATGGGAGATGTGAAGTGGGGGTGGGGGGGAGGCTTGAGCTCTGCAAACCTAGGTCTCTGTTTTACCTCTGGGCTGTGGATCCTGTTCCATCCAAATCCATGTCCACGGGCAGACTCTGCGGCAGGCGCCTTCTGTGTGTCCTGTGGACGCCATTCATCACCATGGCTGTAGGTGTTCCATGACTTCTCTGACATCAGGAAATAGGAAAACTCAGAAGATCTGACTTAACTTGAGGGAATTTGCTTTTTCCCCAAGCAGTGGGTTTGGGGTTCACACCACAGTTAAGTTTTAAATAATTGGTTTAAGTTCCCAAACCTAGGTGTTATCCTGATAAAGGGCAGACCCAGCATGGTGGCAAAGTCACAGCAATTCTATGGCAACCTCATGCTTCCTGAATGAGAGAGCCAAGATTCAGGCAAACCAAGTCAGCTTTGAAGTTTAAAATCCCCTAATAACACATGAACATATTTTAATGAGCCAGGGACAGAGAAATAAATGACAAAGGGACCGGATTGGGAGACTACACTTGTTATTTACAAGTAGAATACAGAGCCCTGCCCATCCCAGGGACTGTTAGATGGTTTTCCTACAAAGACAGTAGTAAGTACAGTAGATGACTAAATCGATAGAGGAAGAGAGGACACGCTAGGCAATTAGCCTGAGCATTCATCTAGTCTCTTGGTACTGAGCTTTTAGGAAATCATTTTCCATTTACTTTTTAGGATCGTCAAGTACAGCGAGCAGTTCTCATCCAACGATGCCATCATGTCAGGCTGCCTCCCTAGCAACCCTTGGATAACAGATGACACCCAGTTCTGGGACTTAAATGCCAAATTGTATGTATTTAATATATTGGGGTTTATTATTATTGCTTTATGCATTGTAATTCACATGCCATACAATTTACCTATTTAAACTGTATAGTTTAATGGTTTTTATTATGTTCATTGGGTAATGCGATGATTACAATTAGTTCAAAAATATTTTCATCACCCTCAAAGAGATCTTGAACCCTTTAGCTATCACCCCACAAACCCCTATACTCCAGCCCTAGGTAACTACTAATCAGTCTACTTTCTGCCTCTATGGATTTGCCTACTTTGGATCTTCCATATAATAAGGAGCCATACAATATGTGGTCTTTTATTTACTTTTCCCACTTTGCATAATACTTTCAAAGTTTATCCATGTGTAGCATGTATTGGTACTTTGTTTCTATTTGTGTCTGGTAATAGTCATCACGTGGATATACTACATCTTGTTTGTCTGTTCACCTGTTTCTGCCTTTTAGCTATTATGAATAATACTGATGTGAACATGCGTGAACATTCATGGTGAAGAAGCAGCCACGGTGGGGTGGCAGGCAGGTGTCTGGCTGGTGGCTGAGACCACAGCATCCATCACCAGTGCTGCTCTAGAATTGTCTCCTGGCCCATGATGGCAGCCTGACCCTTCACAGGATGGTCTCCAGGCTTTCAAGGGGACCTTTGCGTTCTTTCTCCCTGAAGGCTATAGGAGCAGGGCCTGAATGTGTAGCTGCCATTGTGGGTACCTGCTCACCTCTGAGAGCTCATTTCCTAGAGCACCAGGGCACTTGTCTGAGGCTGCGGCTTCCTAGCAAGTGCTACTTGGACTGTGTGTTTATGCAGGGATCAGAGGAGCAGGAGGAGGAGGACTGGGTGGAGCCCTGGGCTGTGGGACTAGTGGGGGTTGGTGGGGGGCCACAGTCCCTCACCCCCACCCCAGGCATCACTTGGTCCTGCCTTGCTTGAAGAGCTATGTTTATGAATCATCATCCTTGCAGGGTGGAAATCCCAACAAAGATGCGCGTGGAACGATGGGCCTTCAACTTCAGTGAGCTGATCCGAGATCCCAAGGGTCGGCAGAGCTTCCAGTACTTTCTCAAGAAAGAATTCAGTGGTGGGTGTTTTTTATTTTTTTAATTGAAAAGAACTACTTTTAGTAACATTTCTTTGATGTCTAGCCTGGGGTTTGCTCAGTGGATGTTTCCATAGCTTTGCTAAACGCTCTTAAACAGGGCTTCCTCCTTTACAGCATTAAGAATTGTACCTGGGTCTAGGACCAGTTCCATATTAGCATCATTTACATTTCTGAGGGCTCCACCCCATCTTGGCTTCCCTCTCTTTATCTCTCAAAGAGAGCCTGCTCCCTCCACCCCAGCCTCTAAGTGTAGCTTTTCAGGGAAATTGAAGGGAAATTGAAAGCTTGCTTGCTTTCCCTTTTACTCCCAGCCTGACTTGCTTTAGCTCACTGGTTCTGCACATTCAGTTCACCTGGGGGAGATTTTAAAACACATGCTGGCCTGGGTCTCCTTCCTAGAGATTCCTTTTGGGTTGGTTTGGGTCAGAAGTTCTGAAGTTTGGAACGATCCCCATGTGATTCTACTGTGTGACCATGGCTGAGAACCACAGCCTTAGCTCCTGGCCTGATTTCTTTGGGGGCCTTCAGAGTGTGTGGATTTTAATGGAATGGGTAGGGGCACATTTTATGTCTCATCTCTGAATTTCTCATCACAGTGGGCACTTGTGGCCTCTTAAAATATACTGCACGGAAAAATACCTGGGAAAACCAAGAAGGCAGATTAGAATCCATTTCACTAAGCTGCACATTCGGTTGGCTCCAGCACCTTTGCTGAAACAGTTCCTTTTAACGGGGTTTATTTGCTACTTAGAGAGTCCCTAGCCCTGGGGGCTTCACTTTGAACTTTGAGACTATGGAAGACCTGCTTCTCTGTGGAATTGCCCCTGAGACAAATCCTACTGGACATGCCTTTGGTAGGGTTGACTGATGCAGAACATTACATCATAATAGGGATTGTTGAAAATCTGTTCCCCTAATCAAGCCTAATTGCCATAATATGATAAACCCCAGAAGAAATGGCTGGAGAGAGCCCTTAGGGCAGGCTGGTGAAGAAGTGAGAATGCTACCATCTAGTGGCCAAATGATAAACTACACTGAGTCTGTTTAACCCTATTGCGCCTTACAAAATAAGTGAGAATCCAGAAAAGATTTCCCTATATTATTAAAATCATATTATGGACGATGTCCTTATGACAATTAAGATATGAAAAGGGCAGATTAATCATCACTCATTTAATTAAGAATCTTAAATTGAGATGAAATTCACCTTTTAAAGTGTACAGTCCAGTGTTTTAAAAAATATAATCACTGTCTGCATCCATCAGCAGTCTTTAATTCCAGAAAAATTGTGCCACCCCTAAAAGAACCCCTTTGTCCATTAGAAGTCATTTTCTGTTCCTCCCTCTCCCCCATTTCCTCCCCACTACTCTCTTCCCCTGACCCCAGCCCTAGGCAACTACAAATGTATTTTCAATCTCTGTAGCTTTGCCTATTCTGGACATTTGTTATAAGGTGAATCGAGGGGTCTGACCTTCCTTCTGTGTGGAGAGGAGCAGAGTCCCTCTGGCTTTTGTGGCCCTCGGTTAAATCTCCCTTGTGGCCAGGCCTTCCCTGGGGTCAGTGCCTCATGGTCACACCTGAGGGATGTAAGGACCCTAAAAGGACCTTAGGGCCGGGAAGGGGCTACAGAAGGTGGGGTCTCCACACACAGACAAAGGAGGCAGAAGTCACTCAGTCATTTAGGAAAAGAGCCTGAAGCGCTGTGATACGTGCTTAGGAACCGTGTCATACGTGGGCTTGTTCAGGCAATACTTGCTGCATATAAATGGTAGAGCAAAAATAATGTAGGAGTCTCTCAATGTGTGTGTGTGGGATTATTATGAGCTCTGACCTCTGTGCTATTGGAGGAGAGAACAGCACCCCCAGTGTGCATGCATTCTCCCAAACGTGGTGTTTGCCCAGTCTAGTTGATTTCAAGGGACACCAGCAACTGTAGCCACTCCCGGGTTCCAGTTTCTGCCCCAGGCCCTGACGTCATGGTGTGCAGTGGCTCTTTTGGCAGGGGAGATGCTCACCACGCTGCAGAACTGAACCACCCCAGCTGATCCATTTCTTTTATTCCCTCTTCTCTTCTCTCCACTTGCTCCTGTCTGGCTTTTGTCCGCATGGACCCCTTCTCCCCATGCAGGGGAGAATCTGGGATTCTGGGAAGCCTGTGAGGATCTGAAGTATGGAGATCAGTCCAAGGTCAAGGAGAAAGCAGAGGAGATTTACAAGTAAGGATCAGCCAGAGAGTCCCTTCCCGTGTGTGGGGCTGCAGCTAGAGAAGGAAGGTCTCCCACATGCGGCCAGCCTGGTCCTGGTCAGTATCAGGCACTGCACCTGCCACACCATAAATACCCGCTTCTGCTTTGGAAGGCTTGAGGTTTCCTCTGGAGGCAGCCTGGTGAGATGGTCCGGGGGGTCCCCCGCTCCAGTGGGCATGCGTCTAGGGTTGCAAAAGCAAGTTGTCCTGAATTACAAGACAAAGTTCATTAAGTGTGTGTGTGTAACACAGAAAGAAACAGAGGAGTGACAAGATGGACAAAATGGGGAGAACCTATTCCATGCGCCATGTTGGAAACAAGAAGACAGTGAGGGAAAGACAGCAAGCCCAGTTTGGGGTACAAGTGTGGGCACTTCTCTTATTTCTTATCCATGGCTCTCACTGCTCCCATAGAAGTAAGTCTGCGCCTCCTCAGGCCCCTCTTCCAGATGACCCCAGAATCAAGGGTTCAGTTCAGAAGCCTCAGCCCTGCTGCCAATGGCCAGGGGAGGAGGAGGGAAGATGGGATGAGGCCAAGATTGCTGAGAACCACACTTCCACCAGCACTCCTCCGCTGAGCCTGATGGGTGCCCACACCGTGCAACGTCAGATCCCCGTGGGTCCTTCTGCCTGCGCCGCCACAGTGGACAGCAGTCTTCAGCTTGGTGGGCCCAGTGATTTCAGTTTGCACTCACAGCTGCCCTGCAGTTCCTGAGGCCCGAGCTCTATGTGGCTGGAATCAGCTCTTGCAGCCCACTCCCCACTGAGAGTGCAGCCTTTGTCCTGCTGGTGTCCCCCTGCATGTGGACTCAGGATGGACCACACCAGTTCTCAGAGAGGCATGGACATCACAGGCAGGAACAGCTGAAGCCTCCCTTCTCATCTCAGAGGCTCCTGTGCTCTCGCAGCTCTGCTCACCTCCTGCCTTGGGGAGGGACCAACACCGAGAGGCTGGGGAGGGCATTCAGGTAGGGTGGGAGGACTGCGGTCTGGGAAAGTCAAATGAGAGCCTTCCCCAGAACAACGGGTGGGTGACTGCTGTGCTCAGATACGAGGACAGCTCCTAATGTCAAACTCTTGCTGCAAGGGACTTCACTGGTTCTTCGGTCACTTTGGCCACCTCTCTCCTCAGGTGCCCACTTGGGGGAGTCTTGGTTGAAATGCCAAATTGTCATGTATATCTTAAGGGGGCGGGAGAATGTCCATGTGAGTATTTGTGGCATGAAACAGCTAAGAACCAGTGTTGGCACAGCTCCCTGTGTCCACAGCCCAGGTAGAGACAGGACGCAGAAAGCACAGCTGTCTTTGGGCCACTGGGCCGGATGCCCAGGGGTCACACTTCGGCCCCAACTCAGTGTTGAAGATTCATCACCAAACCCATTTGGACAGGGCCAAGGGAGAGCTGAGGCCCCGAACACCTGGTGGTGTCTTAGCCTGGTTCCAAACTGTTCCCAGAGTCAGGGTGAATGAATAGGCAGAAGGGGTTGGGGTGGAAGTGGCTAGGAACTATGGACATTTTGGTTGCTCTCCTAGAGGCTGGGGACAGTTGAGTACTCTCATTCGCAGAGCTGGAGTGGCTGTCCTCTGCCTTCTAGGAAAGGCTGCTTAACAACCTCTTCAAATGCTTTAGTGTCTCCTAAAAAACAGGTCAACCTCATCCCAGGGAACCCCACTGCATCAACCCCTCTTTCCCATGTAGCTGTGAACTTGGGGTAACTACTTTTGTGAACACTTCTTCCCTCCCTCCACAGACTGTTCCTGGCCCCTGGGGCGAGGCGGTGGATAAACATAGACGGCAAAACCATGGACATCACGGTGAAAGGGCTGAGGCACCCCCACCGCTACGTGCTGGATGCAGCCCAAACCCACATCTACATGCTCATGAAGAAGGTGGGTGGGGTCCGTGTGGGCCATGCACAGGGCCTGAGAGCCCTCTGTGACCTGTGGATACCACTTTGCTGGTGGTGGGATGTAAAATAGGCAACTGTTGTTTCCACTTGTCACCTGGGCTGGGTCCTCTGTGGGCCAGAGGGCGAGGACACCTGCAGAAGCTGTATGCATCTCGGGGGCCCCTCACTCTGCAGGAGAGCAGCAGGCAGCACCAGGAATGCCACCAATGGTAGAATTCCTATAGATGTCATTCGTTGAAGGCTTATTAATTGCAGTCACTGTGCAGAGCACGGAACTTTGTTCCCAAAGAGACTGGCGAGGGAGGGTGTGCTCCTCTAGAGGCGATGAGATTCCAAGTCCTGCTCCACTGGAGCCCAGAGACCAAGCTCCGGGCCGTCCAGTGGCAGGTGGCAGTTCCTGTGGCCCTGGACACATAGGACACATGGTCAGTCTGGTGTCTGAGAGAGACAAACTAGGTGCGACTGTAGTACAACCCCAAGGAGGTTCAGGTTGCCTTCGTGATTATTAATAAAATGTCGATACAGTAGAAATTATTAGGGAATTGTTAAAAATAAAGTAAAGGGAACCTGAGAGAAAATCATTAGCTTTCTTAGAAATTAGGACTGGAGGCTCAGAGGAGGGAGGTCATCTAGTTTGGTCCCCACTCGGGATCGTCCTTGACCAGGCTCCCTTCTGGTACTCTGACTTCTCAATGTGGCAATTACTCCCTTTATGGCAAACCACCCAGCCAACTGTGTTGTGTGATACGAGTTGGTGAAGTTGGCAAATGCCTGTGATTTTCCTAGTTAGCTATTTATTGTGTTATAAGGAAATATATTTACTCTTTTCAAACAGAAAATTATTTAGAATTCTCAGCAAGCTACATTTGCCATTTCTCACCATTTTTTTCTATCAGAAGGGTTTCTTTATATTTTCCCACTGGCAGCTCCACAGCACAGTGTCTTTAATGACAGTCCTCCGGAATGTGTTTTACAATGTTTTGATTTTTTTTTTTAAAAAAGGCGTTTTCACAGTCTTTTAAGAGGTGCACAGGGAGGCCAGCTTCTAGCCAGGATGGAAGATCACAGGTAACCGATCAGGACAGTGATGCATGTGCGTATTGTCCTCTGTGTCCTTACGGGCTGGGGACTCCGGTGACAAGCTCACGACGACTCAGTGTCTCCATTAGCCCTGTTCCCAGACTCTGTTCTCGTTCTCCTAACTATAACCGATACATTTAGTCTTTAGCACCATCCTGTGTCAATCTTTAAGACTCCTGACAATCCCTGTATTCTTGCAGAGGGCTGGCTCAGTCTGGTCTTTGTTATGATGGAGTTTTTAGCTGGCTAGAAGTAGCCCCATTGGGGAAGTCAGTTCCCAGACCCTACGCAGGGTCCCAGGAAACATCTCACGGAGGAATCAAAGTCTCCTTTTCTCTTTTCTTGTATTCCTTTGCTTTTATACCCAAAACTGAGGGCAGAAAGCCCTGTGGTGGGATGGGGAATGGGCTCCACATGCAGGGCTCCTCAGTTTTTTGGAGGATGGTGCTGGGTGGGAGGAGCTAATGTCCTCCGTCGCTTGCTGGCTTCATGACATGGTGAACAATGCAGGGGGATTTGGGCGTGTGTGGGTGGGGACTGTGGCCGCGAAGCCCCGGGCTGTGCCATTCTTGGGGTTCCAGGTGAGACAGGACTGGGATCGTGCCTTCCGGGTTACTAATAAAAGACTGCATTTCTAGCAAGTTCCTGGGTGACACTGACCCTGGCCTGGGACCCGCATCTAAGAGCAATTGCTCTCAATGGCTCCCTGAACATCTTTCAGGCAAGGAGATGAATCTGCCCTGTGCCATTCTGCCACCGAGTGAAGGCTTGAGAGTGGCAAGTGTATTTGTTTGATCTGACATGTTCCCTCTCATAATCAGTCTTTTTCTCTTGCTTTCGCCAGGATTCTTATGCTCGCTATTTAAAATCCCCGATCTATAAGGAAATGCTGGCCAAAGCTATCGAGCCTCAGGAAACTACCAAGAGAAGGCAAGTGGGGCTGTCTGTAATTGCTGCTGCCTGCTGTTTAGCTTATGGAGAAGCCAGGGTTTCTTCCGGCCCAATGGCTACTATTGATTTTTGCTTGATGACAATATCAGGGATTGGGAAGTATTGCGTAGCATCTCGTTTCTTCATAATGCCCTGAAATGACTCTAGTAAGGTTTCCTTAGCAATTACTTCCAGTGAGTATTGTTTCCCTCATGCTGGTTTGATTATCAGACCAATAATTACTCTTATCACAAATGGAAACATCTCACTGTTTTGTTTTTTTTTAAATTGCTACTCTTCTCCACCCCCAAGCTGATGAATGGGACTTCATTTGGCAACATTCTTATATCTGCATTGTTCTAAGTGCTTAGAGAGAATAGCAAGTTGTATCCCAGAGAAAATGCTAGACTGTTAGAGGGGAGGAAGAGTCACGTCCCAAGTGTTCTTGCTACTTCCAGGGATTACTCTGTGAAAGTCCATAGATTCACTCATTCTCCTTTTCACTGGAAGTGTGCATCACTTCACCTTTTAGAGCCACGGGGACAATGAATGATCTAACATTGGGCAGAAAGATTGAACCCTTTTTGTGGGGGAAAAATACAGGGATTGAAGATTCAAAAAAGTAACCAAATGACAGCTTGAACAAAGTCATAGGACCCTGGCAGAGGCTTTTCAAAGCACTGGCAGCCATGTGTCCTGTCCCATGCTTAGTAAATGCCCAGAGAGCCCATGCTGGGCTCCTGTCCAGCATCTTCAGTCCATTCAAAAGGAGGCAGTTGGACCAGAGCCTTTTTCAAAGGAGCTTAAGAAAAAACTCCAACTTGGTTTCATTCTTGAGGATAATGGTGCTGTTATGAACAGGAGAGAAAGGAGGCCTTTGTAGTGCTGTTCTAGGTTTACCGAGTAAGGACGGGAGTTCAATCTCCCCGGGGACTTGAAAGCTTCTCTTTCAAGCCACAAGAAAGGGCTATAATAGCCTCCGACGTCCTGCCAGAAAGCAGTGGGGGCAAAGGGAGGTGTCTCGGTGGGCATGAGAATTCAGCTGGGATCCTTCCCAGACTCAGCAGGGGCTCTGAGAGCCTAGGGTGGCAGGGACCTGCTGGTGGGGCACTGGCTTTGGCGTGGGCTGAGGCAGCCTGGGACAGTTGTCATCACCACTGTGAGTGAGAGTCACCTGTGCCTGCTTCTGTACAGGACAAAGCTTGGCCTGGATCCAGGTGGGAATGGCAGTGGGTGTGAGTTTGTTCCATGACTCGCAGGTACAAGATGATGGATTAAAGCTTAATTTTTCCAGGACAAGTTAAACCTACACTCTAAGTCCTCCCCTAGGTAGGACTGTGAGACACCCAGTGTCAGGCAGTGCTTCCTGAGAGGGGAGCCATCCACTTCCCTGAAATAGATACGAGAGTTCTTAGGGGCTTATGCAGTCCAGAAATTTGGGGTAGGTCCTAAGTCTTCAGTCTGTCATTGCTGTTGAAATGCTTGGTTCTCAAGGCCATGTGTGTCCTCAGAGCGGGGGTGTCAGCTACTCAGTCTCTCTGGCTCACTGGGGCACCTAAAGCTTTGTCTTTGCTCCTGAGGACATGGTAGAGAGTTTGTTTCCAGGAATCCTTAGTTGGCTTTGGAAAGTTCTGACTCATCCCAAGACACTGCACATGAGCAGAGCCCCAGGCCACCACTCCTCTTCCTCCCTTTCCTCCTTATCTGCCCATTGGGACCCTGCTGTCTTGGACAGTCCAGCTCTTTGTGCCCTCCCAGGACGTGGCTTTTGAAAGTTCTGCTGGGGCTGGAGCACTTGGGCTTCCATAACCCAAGCCTGCCTTGCCTCCTTCTTTCATGGAGATATTTCAGGATGTTAAGATGACAAACCAATTTCTGAACGCTGTAGAAGGTGTGCCTGTCATCTTTACCATCTGAAGAGTCCTTTTCTTTGTGCATAACTTACAATCTCATGGCAATTGGTGCTCACTCTGGTCCTGTCCTCCAAGGTGGGAGAAAAGAGCTAAGCTTGGAGGACCTTACTCTGAGCTCTGAGCTCTGAGGACCCTACTTGAGGTTCGCTGGTGAAACATGGGAGCACATCCAGATGCTGGACTTCCAGCTCCAACTCCCACCACTTGTGACAGTGGCACTGGGCAAGCAATGTTGTTTTCTGCCAGCCACCAATGTGTCCTTCCTTGCAGCTCGAGCCTCCCATTTATGAGACGTCACCTGCGCTCTAGCCCAAGCCCTGTGATCCTGAGGCAGTTGGAAGAGGAAGCCAAAGCTCGAGAAGCAGCCAACACAGTGGACATCACTCAGGTCATGAGCAAGCTGGACCGTAGGAGCCAACTCAGAAAAGAGCTTCCTCCTAAATAGATCTCTGGTTCCTGGGGTGGGGTATGCACTCGGTAGAGCAAACTAAGAAAGGGCAGTCAGAGTCTAGACGATTCCATTCCCCAGTAGTGGGACAGTAGAGTCAACAGGTTTGTCCCAGATCCTTCTAACTTCCGTCACAGCAGAATTCCCAGTTCTAGGGCCCCTAGAGCTGATCTCTCACCCCAGGTTACCAAGGGCCAGGGGTGGCGATGGTAAGGGTTACCTGACTCAGTTGCTGTGTGCTCATCTGTCTTACCTTAGGAAATTCCTGTAGTGAGGACCATAGGGAAAACATCTGCTTCGTGTCCCACTATTTGCTTTGGAAAATTACAGAGAAGGCTTCTCCCCACCCGCACCGTACCATTCTTTCAGGGACATTTGTTTAAAGTAGCTTCGTGAAGCTCCTCCTCCCATCTCTTCAACTTAGGCTGAGCTTCTAAAGTGACTCGAGGTCCCTCCCAAGGGGTGGTTGCAGGGCTGCCCAGTAAAAGCATTTCCCTGGACATCCCCCCTCCAGCTGCCCGGGGAGGCCCTGCTAGCACCTGTCCTCCCATTGTGCTTGTTCCTAGTCGCCGTTATTTGAGGGTTCATGGCCTGTCTTCTTCCTGTGTCCCCATTCCTGAACACATACTGTGTGTATCTGTGGCTTATAAAGAATGAAGCAGTGAGGCCAGAGTAGTCAAGGTGAAATGGGCTGCTGTGGAGCATGTTTTTAGCTAAAGAATAAGTGCATCTACATCTTTATTCAGAAGAAGGAGAGTGGACATCTGTGACATTTTCAACATGAGATGGGATCAAATGTACTTTTTGAGATGTTTTCTAGATGTCTAGCTATAGGTTAGGGCAGCTCCCTGGTCAGGGGCAAAGGAAGAGGACACTTTAGGCCCTGATCTTGTGAGGCCTAGAAGGTCATTCTTGAAGTCAGGCTTCCACCATACAACTGTATGCAAAAGAAAGAATGGGAGGTGAGCAAGGGACCAGCCTTACACAGCAAGAATACTGAATCATTCACATGTTTGTTGAGTACCTACTATGTATAAGTCATTGGTGGAACAAAAAAACACTTTCTTTTTCATGGAGCTTATAGTCTCAGACTGACCAAAAGTAATTTAATCTAGCAGGTAGCTGCTGCTGTATAACAAGTGACCACAACTAGAGTGGCATGCAGTAGTGTTTATTGTTCACGCATATGGGTTCATCTCTGTGGCTCTGCTGATCTTGGCTGGGTTCCCTTGTAGGTCTGGGTGGTCTACAGTGGTCTAGGCTGGGATGAGGGGAATGAGTCTGCTCTGCTTTACCTGTCTTTCATCTTCTAACAACCTGGCCTAGGCATGATCCCATGATGATGGCAGAAGCCCAGGGATGCTAGGAGAAATACACAAGGCTTCACATAGTATCTTCCACCTCATTTCATTGGCCAAAGCAAGTCCCCAGCACAGCCTAGACTGAAGGGTTGGGGAAGTAAATTCTATCTCTTTTAGTTTTTTTTAAAAAAACAATCTCATGGCAAAAGACATGGATACTAGGAAGTATAAAGATTTAGGGCCATCATTATAATTAACAGCACAAAAATATATAATAACCTGTTGACTGTATTCTTTAGGAAGTGGATCTGGTGTTGTCATAAGGAAGATGGGGCATATGGACATTATGCCCCTCTGAGGCAGTGACAGGCAGGTGGAGGATAAAAGAGAGTTGATCAAAGGATGTGGTCTAAGCAGGAAGGATGTCCCACAAAGAGGAGATTATGTGGGCACATGCTAGATTGTCTACACAAATCACTGGAGACCTACTCCATGTCAGACACGGGATCCCATGATCTATGGGAGACACAGGCATGTAGACAAGGTAGGCGACCATTCTCTATTAAGTGAATGAGCAAATAAGGGTCCCAGCATTATCACCATGAAGGAAGGTACATGGCTTCATTCCTGGATGGCAAGATTATGTTCCACAGATATATTCTAAAGACCACTTTTGTGTTGAGATCAGTGGCCAACACCATGCAATTCATAGATGGAAGAAATCAGAACTCTCATAATGGTACGAACAAGAGGAAGGAGCATATTGGACCCATCAAGGAAACTGGACATCAAAGACTGAATAAAATTTTCCAGGTGGAAGGCAGAGAGCTATGGTTCATAATTTTGGTCTCTCTTCTTCCAGAAAGGATTTGAGGCAACTTATAATATTAAAATACCAGGCGATGGGCCGGGGATTTAGCTCAGTGGTTCCGCCACCTGCCTCTCAAGCACAAGGTCCCGAGTTTGATCCCTGGTACCAAAAAAAAAAAAAAAAAAAAAAAGGAAATATCAGATGATGGAACTTCTAAAAGGATGGATGGATAGAAAACCAATTGTTAAAGTAGGGCTGAGCACAGTATACCTTACTGGGTTATCATATACTTACTTATGGGTTATCATAAGTGAACATTGCAATTTTGTAAACATCAACTTTTGCTCTAAGTGTCTGACAACTACCAAGCCAAAAAGGAAAAAAAAAGACAAATTTTGGTCTGAGAAGTCTACCATGTCATAAAATAAAACATTCAAATCCTCCTTGACCTAGATTCTCCCCTGACTCCCAGGTTCCAACAGGAAGTTGAAAATAAAATATGCTCCTGGAAGGAGATTTCTAAACCATTCCGGTTTTAGGCATGAAAGATGCAGAACTGAATAAAACTGTCAGGTTTAATTTCATCAAGTTTACGTTTCAGTGGAGACAGAAAGTGGATGGTAGAGAAGTGCCCTGAAGAAAAAGAAAGCAGCTTGAGTAATTCTGTATTATGGAAGGGAAGTAATTTTAGATGAACTCATTCATCTGGAAGCAATTGCTGAAGATGTGAGAAGAGATGAGAATTCAGGGAGAGAAAAGAAAGCTAAGAGAGAATCTTGGAGAGGCCATATTTTAAAGGTGTAGAGAAGGAAGAGTTAAGAATGGAGTAGAAGAGCTGTTAGAATATACCACACAGGAGATGATGAGGGTATGAGTGAGTTATGACACGACAGAAATTGTGTGTCTCACCCTTCCACTTTCCAGCCTCCCCTGCGGTTAGCTGGCATCGCCAGACCAGGTCTGGTCAATGGGTAATGCTGAGGCTTGGAGCCTGGTGCTCCATCTCCACTGCAGGCTCTGCTACGACGTGGAGACCATATCACCTTCCACATAGTACAGCTGTAAGATGAAGGAGGCCTGCTGGCCCACACTGGACTTAAATGAACAAAATGTGGATCTTGATTATAAGATATCACTGAGAGTTCGAGTTTCTGCAGCATGGCTCATGCTGTCCTGACTCACCAAGGAGTTGAGTGTGTTAAGACTATAAGAGGCCACTAGAGCTAGGAACGAGGAAATCATTGGGGACATTTAAGGGGTGATATCAATGGAAGAAGAAGGGCGGAAGTCAGATGTTATGGGGATAAAGAAGGATAAGCAGAAAGTAAAAAGAGTAGGCAGTGAGTATAGATCACCATTTCAAGAAGTTTGGGATGAAGATGAAAGATGTAGTGGTAACTTAGAAGACGGAGGATTGACAGGGAGCAATTTTTTAAAAAACAGGGTGAAATAGGTGTGTGAAAGAATGATTCCAGGGAGACTGGGAAGTAAGCAAGGAACGATTGCCAGGTGTGGTGGTGCACATCTGTCTTCCTAGCTGCTCAGGAGGATGAAACAGAAAGATCGCAGGTTTAAGGCAAGCCTGAGCAACTTAGTAAGACCCTGTCTCAAAATGAAAAAAGAAAAAGGGCTGAGGATGTAGCTCAGGAGAGCACTTGCCTAGCATGTGTGGGGCCCTGGCTTCAGTTCCAGTGCTAAAAAAAAAAACTTGAAAGAAAGAAAGAAAAGAAAAGAAGGGGGGGGGATGAATAACTGACAAGGGAAAGCCTGGATTAGATCTGGAGGGCTGGATGGGATCAGACCAAATTCCAGATTCGTCTTGGAACAGTTCACTCCCTCATGTTGCAGCTCAGAGAGACTATGAATTAGAAAGGAGGAAACTGAAGGCACTTGGGATGAGACCATTTTTCATGATTAAATAGCATTGATGGTATTTGATCATCTCGAGGCTGGGGGAGGGCAGTGGGACTGCAGCAGGAAAAGTTCTTGACAAGTCTTGTGGGCAATAATGTGACATTGAAGCCAGATAGAGGTGAGTGGAAAGGCTGTCAAGCTAGGAGAAGGAAGCAGCATCCCATTTCTTTATCTGGAAACCTTTGTATGTTTTGAAGGTGGAGGGAGGTAGAACTCCTGGAACACTTCTAGTCAACGGAAAAGATGGTTAAACAAGAGTGTGAGTGCCTGAGTCTTGGGGCAGCCCCACATTCATTTGGGAGGGCACAGCCAGGAGCACTACCAGCCTGGGAAGGAGTGAAGACTTGGGGAGATTGGAGGGACCCTGGGTCAGTTAGTTGGTGGTGTACACTGACCAGGACTAATGGCCAACATAGACCATCCACACTGGAAAGCCCTGTACAGCTCCTAGGGATGCAGAACTTCACACATTTGTGTGGCTTCACTGTATCTCAACTCCAGAATCAGCCCATCAGCCCCTTTCCACACTCACTCCTGCCTCCTCCCCAACTGTAAGAGTCTGGCAGGGCTCTGCTCTTTGATCCTGGACTCCACCAGGAGATTCTCATGTTTCATAGGAAAGATGACACAGGTCCCTACCTAGTTCTGCGGTCTCAAAAGAATGTCCATAGATGCTGTCACAGCTCTAGCAGGTGGCAGCTGCTTCTGCTAACTTCAGTACCATGAGTCAAACCTTACAGCGGCCCCATGGGCCCACCTGGATCTCAAATGGCTTCCAAAGTAATATTTATTTGGACAGTATTATTGATATATTTAAATAATTATAATAGTCTATTATGCCACATACTTAGACCCATCTTAACTCCTTATGTCATAGTTTAACCAGATCACAGACCTCTCTATTCATGGAATACACATCTTATGTGAGAATATGTTATTCTATAATATACCAGGATTCCCTCAATAGGAGTCCATGTTTCCAGCTTGACTTTTCAAGAAGAGACTGCTTTCTCCAAGTGAACGTTAGAGAACATAAAGGATCAGGGATAAAAAATAAGAATAAAGTACTCAGAACCATATGTAAGTGCTCAATAGGGACTAGCTGCTTTTATCACCATCCTCCTCCTCCTCCTCCACATCATTATCATCACTGTCACCATCAACATCCTCAGTTTTGCTGTCACCACCATCTCCTCCACCGTCATCACACTGCCCTTCCACGACCACCATGAGCATCTCCACCACTACTGTCCCTGCCACCGCCATAATTATCCCCACCAGCATCACTGTCACGAGCGCCTTCGCACGCCACACTCACCGTCAGCGGCATCAACACCACCACCATTGTCCCTGTTGTCACCACTTTCATCATTACCATCATTGTAAATCATCCTCTTGTAGCTTTGCGGTCTTAGAGAAAGCTCAGGCTTTCTTCCATCTATCAGTATTGTCCAATACAGTAGCTCATCATTCATCATTATTTAAGCTGTTTCCTGAGGAATATGTAGAATATTACTGCCCCTAACCATCTTACTTCTTTGCTCTCTCGGAATCTTGCAGTGTAGGCCTTTGAGCTCTCCAGGGAAGATTAGGATACGTTCAAGGTCGGGGGAGGGTGAGGAGTTGATTTCGTGTCCCCATCTGTGGCTTCTTGAAGTGACCAGCATAGTGACTATTCAGTCCTGTGATTCTGAGTTTCATGGCTGAAGTAAAGGTCAGTTCCGAATGGGGAGGTCTTGTGCTGGACTATGTCAAACGGGATGACTCAGGAGAAATGCTGAGGTCATCCAAGTGAATTTTTCCAGTGGAGCCAGCTTTCCTTGTTTGCTTTTGGGGAGGTGGGAAAGGGAGAACAAGAGGGGCTGGAAATGGAGTACTGTGGCCTTCGTGCTGACCATAAATTTGACAGTTGAGCCCAGCATCCTGCCCTCAGAAAGGGAATTCAGACCGTGGGTTCTCAGCCAGTTGCTGTAGGTAGAACAGTCAATTGCATCTCTGTGCCATCTGCTTTGCCTTCCATTAAAATGATTGTATTCATGTTCATGTACCTGCTCCATTTCATGCTTCTTTCCCCTTTTCTTGGTTCCCTCACACAATAAAAAAGCAGTATGCAACAATGAAAAATCAAGCTCTCCTCTACTTTGTCTGTGTCCTGTCCCATTTCTTTGTCACGTATCTTGCATGCCACTGCTTTGCTGCCACATGCCAATGTGGGGTGGGCCATGGGCTGGAGGATCTGGGTCTCCAGGCTTGAGCCCCAGGCCAAAGTGTAGGGGCCAATGTGGGGATCCATAGATACCTGATGGGAGGGACTAATGGCCATTAGCTCAGAAGCTCAGAAGAAAGGACCCTATCAGGTCAAGTAAGTGAGAAAAGATAGTGATCACGTTTTGTTTTTTTTTGTTGTTTTTTTTTTTTACTTGCCTTGTCCTTCATCCCGGAATAAAGGAAGTGCCAGCGGGGAGTAGGGTAGGGACAAGGGGAGAGGCAGAAGGGGCACAGAATTAGGGAAGGGCACGTGGTCATAAGATGCAGGATCTCGGTCAATTTGCACCAGCTCTACGAACTTCAGTGTTTTTCTCTCTAAAGTGGGATCGTAACAGGAGTTTATCATAAGTTGAAAGGGAGTAGGGTTCCAGGTAATGAACCCGGGGGTAACACTCAGACACCTTTCTACCTCCTTTGACAAAGTCTGTCTCCTAGTTTGGTTATTTTTTCCCCACTGTCTAGATCTCAAGTCCTATCTGAACTTCACAGGCAATGAGATGCCAACATGGAAACAGCTCTGTGACTAATGACCACAGACAGTATTCCTTAGCTTATAGGTGTCTAGGTGAGACTCGACTGGTGTCTTACTCCTGAGACTCCTCCTGAACCTTAATTTTGTGTTTTCTAAAATAAGGTGGTTGTGGATTCAGTGTGTCTGGCCTGTCTAGTAGATGCTTAATACATTATTTAGAAATCCCATTTCACCCAGCAGTTGTCTTTCACACCCTTAAACCAGGTCTAGCTTTCTCCCCTGCTGTTTTGGTTCTTGGGAGAGAGGATTCCAGCTGGAGCTGCACTGCCCTGCAGAAGGGAAGGGCTATAGAAGCTTACTGGTCACCTGGCCCATCAGTCAGAACATGTGTCCCCTGAGTCCCCCCAAACCCAGAGACCCCTTCAGTGGGGCTGGCTGGGCCAGGATCTGAGTTTGTAACCAGAACCCTGGGGGATCTGATGTGGCTGCTCCTCAAGCCACCCAGGGACACCTGGCCTGCGGGTCTGTACACAGACTTGGGTGAGTCTGATGTCAAGGCTACCCTTCCATACCCACAGTTCCTTGGCTTCTCAATTCATGAGTTTCCTCATCTGTAAAATGGGGATAATAGCGAATTGCCTCACTGAGAAGTTCTGGGGAGTAAATGCAATCATCTGTGATCATAAGCAAAGTGCTCAGCCCAGCACCTTGCATTTGCTAAGCTTTAGCTGCATATTTCAAAAGCAATGATTGTTATTAGTGTAATAATCCAGTCACCCGTGCCTTGGCTCTGGCTCCCTACCTATAGGAATTTGGGCAGCAGAGCAGCAGCCCCAGCTGCTCTTTGGGAATGGGATCGTGGTTGAACTTCAGGGAGCCCACTCGGAGAATGGAGACCCTTTTCATTCTACCCAGACTTCTCAGCCTCCATGGCCCCTGGGCTTCCTCTTCCTCCAAAAGCAGTTCTTGGGTGAACTTGCCTCTCCTGTTCCATTTGAGTCTGGCCCCTCACATGTCCTGGAAACCAGACTTCACTCTGCAGAAGCCAGCAGCCCCCTGGCCTGATCTGGGCATCCTCCCTTGCCCTTGGGGCAGTGCTGTGCTGGGGGTGGGGAGGGGACAGGAGGAGGCCTCTGAGCAGGACGTCCCAGTGGTTGTTTCAAAGAGGGTCTGTTCACTGCAGCCATTTTCAATTCTCATGGTGGTGGCATTGGTCCAACTGTCCCAGATACCCCAGAACCTCTATCTGTGCGGGGCTTTGATGTGGCATGGGCTGCAGTAGGCCTTTGGGGGGAACCTAAGCCATTAGGCCTTGTTTGCTGCAAGGGGAAGAGCCTCATTGGAATTCCTGATCTTACTTTTCTTTGTCGGCTTAGACAAAGCTCCTGGAGGCTCTGTGAGCTGAAAATGTGCCATATTCACCATCCTGCCCAAACACCCGGGGTGGTGGGCCATTGCAGGCCAGGAAGGCCGAGGGCCTCCCCCTCCATCCATTGGGTTATTCTTCACCCTGTATAGCCTGTTTCATTCTGGCCAGCATGCCCAGGCTCCACACTCAGTCTTTCCTCCCAAGGTGCCTCAGCAGGTGCTGTCAGGGAGGACATGGGCAGGTTTCAGGACAAGGTAAGTTCTTTGGCTGGAAGAGGCAGCAAGGCACAAGCTGGGACGACTTGTATCATCTCCCTGGTACAAAGTGTCAAAGTGTTAGCTGTCTCCAGACTCGAGGGTGAGGCCAAGCATGGAGATGAGGGAACAAGGAGTAGGGTGAGGATGAGCCGTTTTTCATTTGGGGACTGGGATGAGGAATGATTGAGAATCAGCCTGGCTGGGGACCGGCACCCTACCAGGCCTGACCTCTTGGCATCAGAAGGGGCTGAGTTAGTAGAGGACAGCTGGGGGCCCTGGTGACCAGGACCACAAACTCACTGCTGAGCTCTCTCCCTTTCTCCTTTACAGCCAGGCCAACACATGGCTCCCAGCCCCCACCTGGCTGTGTACACCGGGACCTGCGTGCCACCGCCCTCTCCGTCGGGCCCCTTCTCCCCCTCCTGCCGCTCCCCCCGGAAGCCTTTCCCTTCACCCAGCCGCTTCATCCGGAGGCCCAGCAGCACTGTCTGCCCCTCACCCATTCAGGTGGCCCTGGAGAGCTCCTCGGGCTTGGAGCCCAAGGGGGAGGCCAGCTGGTCTGGTGCCCACGGTCGGCCCCTGGCTGCTGATGGCAGTGAGGCCTCCGCTGACTGCTCTGGGGCTCGAGGCCAGCCAAGGGCCCCCACCAAGGCCCGTGCGGCTCTGCCCTTCAGCAGGTTCCTGAGACGGGGTTGCCTGGCCTCACCTGTCTTTGCCCGGCTCTCCACCAAGTGCCCTGCTGTGTCCCATGGCAAGGTGCAGCCCCTAGGGGATGTGGGCCAGCAGCTGCCGAGGCTGAAACCCAAGAGAGTGACCAAGTAAGAAGCAGCAGGGTTGGGCTGCGCGCGTGTCTACCTTGTGGTTGTGTGGATGGAAGCTCTGAGGTGTGAATGTGCTCTGGGGCTGGGGCCTGGGTGGGTCATGAGGAGGACCCCGGGGAACAGAACCACAGGTGGGCTGCTCACACCCCTGGGTCACTCAAAAGCCTCTGGAAACCCAGTCCTGTCCTCCATCTTCCTGAGAAGGAGAAGGGACAGGTGTCTTTCTTTCTCATCTTTAATTCCCTGTCCATGCCCTTCCCTCTACCCTGCCTCCCTGCAAAGCATATTAATCTGATAAATTGTGGTATTTTTAAGGGGCAGGAAAGATTGGTAGCTGCTGTGGGGACCACAGGTGGTGAGATGCTAAGGCCAGTTCCAGTGACTTCTGTTCCCTCCCTCATCCTAGGTGCCCTTACCTCCTGGTCTCCAAAGACACCTGTCCTCAGCCTCCTGCATCCAGCCACACACTCCCTTAGAGGAGCTGGTGGGGTCCTTACTGCAGTGGTGGTTTCTGTGATGATAACAGTGCCCAGAGTTTGCCTGAGCAGTGGCCTCTCCATACTCCACTCCAGGTGGTCCTGCAAGTCTACCTCTGAGAAGCCCAGGTGCTCTGACACAGCCCATGGGGGCAGAGGCGAGACTCAGGGGAGGCCTGATAATGTCTGGACCAGTGAGAGAGAGCAAAATGGTGACAATGTAAAACCAAGAACCAGCCTCAGCCTTATGGAATTGGGGGCAGACAAGGGGACCCCCTGAAGTAATTAACCCTGCTCCTGTGTTTGGCCATGCCTGGCTTGGAGAAGGAAGGTTGCCATGGATACTCGGGAAGTGTGGCCCCTGCTGTGTCATGCCTCACATGTGGGCATAAGGCTTTTAAAAGGCTCTTCCCAGGGGCCACCATGTCCTCAGAAGGGAGTCCAAAGGGGTTGAGAATTATGTACTGCTATGTTCTACAGAAACATCCTGAATTCATCAAAATCCTACACATTCAAGCCCTTTAAAAACAAAAAGAATTATCTTTAGTTTAGCAGGAAAGTAGGAATCCCCAATAAGGGGATCCTCCCTGGCCAGTGGCAGTACACCCAAGCTTCGGTAAATGCCCCTGGTGTGCTGGTCTTCCCTGAGGCTGTCGGTATTCTTTGGAGATTAGCTGTCCTCCTGCCCATTCATCACTTGCTTTTCTTTCATGTCTGAAGCTTTTTCCAGATCAAAATGGATGTGCCTACAGACATCGGGCCCTTCCTGATGGACTCGGACGACACAGGGGCAGGAGAGTCTGGGGACCGGAACACAGAGAAGGAGGTCATCTGCCCCTGGGAGAGCCTGGCCTCGGGAAAGGCAGGGTGAGCTGGGGCCACAGGCCAGGAAGATGCTCCTGGCAGGCACTGTCAGACAAGGCCACGGGGTACACTTGCTCTCAAACCAAAGTGCGTTAGGATGAAGTTGGAGGCTGGTGAGACCAGGCAGGACATGGGGAAGAGTGCTCCGGCTGGCTCCCCATGGCCACCCCTTTTTTCCCCTGACTTTCCTTTGCTTGGCCAGAAAGGCATGTGGACCAGAAGTTCCTTGCTGCCTTAAAACCAATAAAAGGGTGAATTGGAAGAGTTTCTCGGATTGGACTGTTAGCATTGCCCAGCTTTATTAGTTATTCAGGAGCTACATTCACATCTTCCTCAGTTTTGTGACAAAGTGACATTGAGTTGTCCCAAGAGCTCTCCCTCCCTGTCTAAATGGGTTTGGGAATGATGCTTTTGCCAACTGAGCTGCGGGGGACAGCTGGGAAAGGCACACTCCCAGGGTGCTAGATCCCCCAAGAAGCTGGCACCAAAGCAGGGGCTGTTGGGGAAAACACCTGGGGTGGATAATGGCTGGGAACTGAAGAAGGAGGTGGGAGGACTGGGCTGTGGAGCAGGTCTGCCCTCTGGGATGGAGGTAGGGACCAGGGAAGGATCCGACGGCAGCATACTTCCAGGAAGATGTGGGTAGCCACCACGTGGGCACACTGAGTCAAAGTCATTGTCGGAAGAGTCTTGCAAGTCCTGGGAACTGGCCTGCAGTGGCATTCCTGTTGTGCGTGGTCACCAGCTGGGAGCCCTCTGTGTGGACCCTGGTCCCCCCACAAGGACGTGCTGGTGGGTCATGTGCCACAGCAACTGGTCATCAGTCCATCTGCATTAGGCGCTCTAAGCACCATTTTTAGGTCTGTTGTACCAGGCTAGTGGGTTCCAGAAGTGTGGGTTTTGGCTGTCCCTCCCACCTCTTCTCCCAAGTACTCATCTAGTGGGGATTCATTAACTGAGCCCCTTCTGTGTGCCCAGGCTGCGCTAGGCCTGGGGATGTCCCTGAGAGTAGGACTTCTTGCCCCACAGATTCGCCTCGTGATTCCCAACCAGGTTGATTTTGTCCCTTAGGGGACACTGGGTGTGTCTGGAGTCATTTCTGGTTGTCACAACTGGGGTTGAAGGTAAGGACTGCCACTGGGATCTAGTAGGTAGAGGTTAAGTGTGCTTCTAAGGATCCTACAATGCACAGCACACCTCTCCATGACAAAAGATTATCTGTCCAACAGTGCCACTGTTAAGAAACCCTGGAGTAGAGGTTACAAATGTCTTTGGTTTCTGCCTCAGCCCTGAAGAATTGCCCCAAAGGGTCTGACTGGGAACATAATTGGTGTGGACAATGGGTTGAGATTAAGAGCTACATGGTGAATAAAGCATTTCTTAAAAGTTGAGTGACTATTTCTGTTTGCTGCTCCCATTGCTTTGCTGTCTCCTGCCTGCTTGCCATGAACTATTTCTTCTCTGCCATCCCGCTCTGCCATTCCACCCTGTTTTGGAGCCAGCTGACTATGGACTAAAACCTCTGCAAACTATGAGCTGAAATAATTTTCAGGTTTCCTAATTTAACTTTGGATGTCAGGGCACAGAGATCTGGTCCAGCCCTCGGCAGCCTGTTCCTCTGAAAAATTTGGTGACTTATCCTCACCTGCAGCTTTTTGTCACCACAGACAACCAAGGATTGATCAAAATGTGGAAAGCAGAGACTGGATGGGAATTGGCCTCCTTCTGCTTACCGACCTCCACTTCTGCAATGGAGCCCTGTTACCATCCAGAGGCCCCCTTCCTGCTGTGGGTTTACCCACGTGGAAAGTGACAGCACAAACATTGTTGGAGTGGAAGCCAGAAGCAATGGAACAAGCATTCTGAGGTCATATGGCTTCAAAATTCAGCATGTCTAAAGATTATCCCAGTTGGAGCAACAGCATTTGATTGAGCTGATCCGCCAGCATGAGACTGAGGCAGCCCTGGAGTTCGCCCAGACACAGCTGGGACAGCAGGGAGAGGAAAGCAGAGTGCCTCACAGAGATGGAGCACACACTGGCCCTGCTGGCCCTTGACAGTCCCGAGGAGCCACCCTTTGCAGACCTTCTCCACATGATGCAGAGGCAAAAGGTGTGGAGTGAAGTTAACCAAGCTCTTTTTCAGGTCCAGGCCCCTGCCTGTCCTGGAGCACCTGCCAAAGCACTGTCGGTCATCTTCACATCAACAACTCTCAACATGCTCTGAGGCAGAAGAGTGACTCATCCAAGATGTCCAAGTCCTGATCCCCAGAATCTGTGACTATGTTGCCTTACATGGGAAAGGAAGATTAAGGTTGCAGATAGAATCAGTGTTGCTGATCAGCTGACTTTAAAATAGGATTATATTGAATTATCCTGGTGGGCACACTGTATAATCACAAAAATTTAAAACCAGCCTGGGCAAAATATCAAGACACACACACACAAAAAAAAATTAGGAGAGAAGATGTGAAAAAACAGAGGGAAAAGTGATGTGATTATTTTGAAGATAGAAGCGGCCATGAGTGGGCAGGAAAAGTAAAGATGGAGATTCACCCCTAAAGTCTCCAAAAAAAGGAACATGGTTTGACTGACTCATGGATTTTAGCCCAGAAGAGCTCTGTAAGGTGCCTGATCAGCAGAGCTGTAAGATGGAGCATTTCCTGGCTTCTCTGAGGGGAAACCTTATTATGTCTTCCCTTTTTTGAGCTTCCTAGCAGCATGTTATTTGGGTTTTTTCCCTCTTTTTTGTGTGTAGCACTGGGGATGGAACCCAGAACCTTCTCACTGAGCTACATTCTCAGGCCTTTTTATTTTTTATTTTGAGACAGAGTCTCACTAAGTTCATATATTGCCCTGGCTGGACTCCAATTTGTGATTCTCCTGCCTCACCTTCCACAGTGCTGGAATTATGGTGTATGTCTGCATGCCTGTTTCTGGCAGTGCATTGTAACTGTCCCAAGAGTAAAGTTACTGTGTTATTGACCCCTATGCCTAGTATGCTGGCTTGCTAAAGCCAGCCTCCAGAAAACATTTGAGAATTTACTGCACTCATGCTCTAAGCAGTTGTCCTGCTGTATGGTTCTCTCATGGTCGGTCAGAGTTCTAGCTAATGAAAAGCTATGAAAGAAAGGATTTTGGAGGTCTACACATAGAACCTATAATTCTTTTCTTCAGAGGCAAAGGAATTAGAAAAGATGAAACACATTGTGAGCATCTCCCCTGGCATAGAAACCCATCTGGTGTTGATATAGATCACCAAGTAATCCAAATAAGGGAAATATTATAACTCTCAACTTGCTAGATATCTGAAATGCAACTTCATGTTCTCTAAAATTGAAGAATGAGTTCTAGGAACAATGGAGGTTGAGAGTAGGAAAAACTTATTGTGAGAAAGATGGCTTTTGTTTAAGAGATAGGAGGGGGACTGGAAAGTGAGTTGCCCACCCACTCCACTTCTCAAAGCTTCTTTATGGGGCAAAGCCACGAGGTGAGGTGGGTACAAAGTGGGACAAGACTATAAGATCCAATGGAAAATCACAAAGTGGGAATGAGGTGGGACAAACGATGATCAACCAATAAGATTACAAGTACAGTCACCCAGGTAATATTGATTAACAGGATCCAGGGGGAAGCTAGTTACCTAGCAAGAGTACATGGATATTCTGGATGGAATGGACTAGCTAGGAATGTTTTAGTCCCCAATTAAGGTGACTGATGTCTATTTAGAATATCAATCCCTGCTATTCATCTCTAGGGGAAGTATGTGGGTGTAATAGTTTCTTTTTAATGTTAAACTTTAGTGAATGTGACTCAGTTGTTTTCTGTGCTGAGGGCCCAGCCCTGCCCAACTATCTTATGATATTTTCTAATTTAACTGTCTGCAGTAGTGTGATGCTGACAGTGTCTGGTGTCTTGTTCTCAGGGGCAAAACTCATGGGAATCCCACCTATGCTGCCAGTTTGCTTAGTGGTTCCACCTCCCCTGGGAAGGACCTGTCAAAGAGTAGCTGCTCGGGCTTCTAAAAAGGGTGTGTGAGGTGTCTGTGTGAGGTCTCTGTGCCCTGTTTCTGGGGACAACCCCAAGTGAGGTCTCCATGTGGACTACAGAGTTTCCAGGTGTGCTCTGTGGAATCCCCTGGGAGCTTCTGTGTGAGGTCTCCACGGGAGGACTCTGGGGTGGGAGAGCTCTGTATGGGCTCTGACCTGTGTGGGAGATCTCTCTGTCAGGTCTCCGAGGGAAGCCAGTTGTGAAAGCTCTGTACTGGGTTTCTGTGGGGCCGCACAGAGCCCTGTGAGAAGTCCATGTGCAGGCTGTGTGGAAGGTGTGGGCTCGTGGGGCAGTGGGAAGACTGTCCTGTGAGGTCTCTGACAGAGGTTCCTGCTTTTGAGCTCTATGGAGCAATGTGATGTCTCTGCTTGAGCCCTGTGGGAGTCTCTACCAAGGGCTAAGTTAGGTCTCTGTGGAAAGTGCAAGCATGTTGTCTTTGGGAGGGCTCTGCAACATGTCTGTGGGAGGTCTGTGGAGTCTGGGGGTTCTCTGTGAGGTTTCTGCAATGATTGAGAACAACCTGAAGAATCTGTGGGGTCTCTGGGGAGTGGGGGGTCTCTGTGTGCTGACTGACTGGGAGGTCTCTGTGCTCACCAAGAAGACTCTTTGGAGGAGGGTCTCTGTCCTGTTCCCCTTGTCTGAATAATCTCCGCTTAGTGTAGGATGCTCTGCCCCAGGATTGAGGTCCCCGGGGCTGTGCCGGTGGCTGCCCAGTGGGCCACACACCACAGGAAATGCTCTCTGGAGAAGTGGCTGCTCCTCTCCCTGCCTCTTGAGCCCCTCTGCTTTTCCACGAGGACCAGGTCCCACAGGAAGGGGAACATGTGCTAGAAGCTGAGAGCTCTCCTCCTGGACCGGCCCTGCCCCCAGGCATTTGGACAGGTCACTTCCAGCCTCCTTGTGGCACAAACCCTGTGTGACCGCCTCTTGCCCTGTGGGCTCTGGGCTAAGCAAGGGCTGGGAGCCAGGCAAGGCTTGCTGTGTGGCCCCAGGGCAGGCTCTGGACCCTTCTGAGTCCCTCCTCTCCTCTAGGGACATCCTGGGGGCTGCATACATATGTACAGCTCACCAGACTTTGAGTCACCTCTCAGGTTCCCTTGTCCTATCTTCTCCACCACTGTCAGTTCATCCTTTCTGCAAGAGGTGAGCATATCTCCAAGTTACCCAATGTATTGATAAGAGATCAATCTTTGCTAACGTGCTCTGCTCCCTCTCAAATCTGGCCCCGTGTGGGAGCTGAAGGTGGCTTCTCTGGTCTGGGATCTGGAGCAGGTAGGGCCCTGTGGTGCGGCCAGGGTGAGCCACTTGGCCCCTAATGTCGCCTCCTGTCTGCTGGTAGATGGCGGCGGATCCTTGGGAGCGCCCCATTCCCTGCACCATTCACAGTGTCCTTGTGCCACTCTGCTTCCTGCCTGGCTCCAGCCTTTTCAATTCTCCTCCCACATCCCCATCCCCAGTGCCTGACCATCACTTACCACGCAGGCACAGCCCTGCTCCCTCCACCCAGAACCACTAACTGGAGTCACAAGATGGACCAGGATAAGTGAGCCATAAGCAGGACCATTTCTTCACCCATGAGCAGGGCCCCCCTGACCACCACCAGCCACGACCCCCCCAAGCTGGATTTTCTGTCCTCACGGCCGCCCTAGTGTAAGGAGGGCCAAGGCCCTGGGATGGGAGCTCTGAACTTTCCATCGAAGCTGAACCCAGAAGGGCCCTCTCCGTCCAGGCCTTTGCCAGGGAGAGGAGGGGCTTCCCAGGGGTGGACATCATCTGTCCCCCACCGGGAGGTCAAGGGCAAGATTTCTCTCACTTCTGAACTCAGGGCCCAGCATCCTCACATGCCAACTACCACCCATTTTGGGACCGGTGGATCTGCATGGCTCTGACCCTTGTGGAAACTGTGGGGGAATTTTCAGCCTAAAGTGTCCCTGTGCCTCTGGTCCTACCACTGCCTTAATGTAGGGGAGCAATGGAAAGATGGGTTGGACCCGATCCCAGGGGTGGGGGGGTCATCATTGGTTTTCCCTGGCTTGTTTTTAGAGATTTTGTGCGTTTAATGGTGGAAGTGGCGATCAGTGAAGGAACTAAGGGTGAAGGTGGGCTTGCACCCCTCTGTCACCACTACCACACTGCTCCCTTCTAGACCCCAGAGCCCACACCAAGCACAGAGCACACAGAAGCCATTTCTCTTGGAAGGAAACATCGGTGTTTTGGGATACAGTAAATATTTTGGATGCATCATGAGACAAATCATTTTCCTCTACTTCAGTAATATTTTTCTTGGACATGTGTTTTCCTACTAAGAAAGACTGGAGAGAAATTTCTCTGTTGTCCAGTGAAGACACCTCCTGAAAGAGGACCATGCCTTGGGCAATAATGTTGTTGGCCTGGTGCCCTGGACGCTGTTGGGCCACACTGGGAGGGGCTGACTGGGGACACAGCCTTGATGGGGAAGGAGGGGTGGGGATGCCTCTGGGCCTGCTGCTCACTGTTGTGCTGTCCAGTTTTCAAGGACTCTTGGCCACAGGGGTGCCTCTCCCTGGTAGGACAGCTGTGGCACTTGGGGGTGGCTGCATGTCCTGGCTTTCTCCTGTGCTCTGAGGAGCAGGAACCCTGGGAGACTGGGGAGTGACCTTCTTCCTCTTTGTGCTAATTGAACTTCAAGGCACAAAGTTTATGCTTAAGCGTTATTGTGGTTTCTACTATCTGCCCAAGTGCTGTCAGGAGCTGCTGAACCTCCTCAGTGTTGCGGGCCACACGAAGTATCTTTTTGGCTGGTCTCTGACTCTGGGCCGTGGTGGGTGCAGGCTTGCCTTTTTTCTGGGAGTCTTCCTGCCGTTTGATTTCTTTCTTAGGTAAAACCCACTGTAGACCTTTCTTCATGCTTTTTTGGAAGTCACCTTCTGAGGGGACTGGTTTCTTTTGTGGGAGCTGAAGGTGTTTACTCTCTAAGGTGTCTTCTATTCCCCCATCCTGGGTGGGCTCAGAGGTCTCCAAGTCTCCCAACCTGTCTTCATGTTTTCCTGAGCTGGGGCTCCTACCAACCTCATGCTTGTCAGCAGGGACAGATGTCTTGCTTTGGCCCTTCCGTGAGTGCTGATATTTCAGGATCTGGAGCTTCTGCTGCCCCAGGCTGCTCCCTCTGTCTGCCATTAGGTCACCAGACAATTGTGGAGCTAGCATGTACCCTAGAGGCATGCTGTGATGGCGGCTCTGGGACTCTGGAGACGCCAAACGGTGTGAAGCACAGAGAGAGTCAGTGGGACAGTCTGGAAGGTAGACACCTGTGGCACAGACTTGACAATGGCTCACTGACTTGATCTCCACTCCGTGCTGAAACTTGCTCCCAGTGTCTGCCCAAAGGCCTGGCTCTCCTGCATCTTGGACGACACATGTTCCAGGAAGCAAGAGGACTTCTGGGCTGCCTCTGCCAACCCTTTGGGTGGTCTTGCTCTCACAGGTTCTGCCCATGAGGCTGGATGTGAGTTGCCATGAAGGCCCCACACTGTTCTGTCTAGTGAGGGGGGCCTCTGAGGACCACCGGCCATCACCAAGAGGGATCCCTGCCAGGGCCCTGTCGATCTTACATGAAATAGAGACAAGGAGACTGCCCAGTGCGTGGACAGACTGCCTGACTGTCGCCTCCTCTCCCGGACAACATCCCTGAGGTGGTTTTCCCAGGAACTTGGCCTCATCCTCCACTCTCAAGTCGGCCCAGGACACACCGCCAGAGGAGGAGGGATGGGCACACTGTGGAAAGGGTGAGGGCACAGCCTTTGTAGACTTAAAGGTGTTTACGGCCTTGAGGAGCTTGAGGGGGAGGCCCCACCTGTGCCTCACCCTATGCCTTGTCCTCTGCATCTCCAGGTACTGCTGAGTGCATGGATCGGAAAAAACCTGGATGGTGCTCACACAGGGTCCCCGACTCCTGGAGGATGCCGGATTTCTGGTTTCCATGTGGGTGTGAGATGTGGGAATGACACCACTGACAGCGAGCCAGGACCGGCGCACTCTCAGAGGGATCAGCCCCTCATGGATCTGCCCCATCTTCACACCCAAATGTGCTTTCAGCACGGCTTCTAGATGTTTCTTGTCTCTACTTCTGAGTGAGTCATTTCTTGCGTCCCTGTCCATGGGCCACATCAGGTTTCTCTCTGACTCTTCAGAGGTCGCCCCCAGAACCTTCCCTGGGGAGCTTCCTAGGGCCCTGGAGAGATCTTTCGGGACCTTGCCTAGAATATGGCCCACATTCTTGCCTGAGTCCTCCCTTAGCTGGAACCTCACCTTCTTCACATGCTCGCTGAGTTTGCCTGTAGACACAGACGAATGTGAGAGCCCGGGTTTGTCCTTTACCTGAGGTGAACGAGCTAAGTCATACTGAGGCTGTGTGAGTTCTGGAGACTCCTGGATCCTGCAGGGCAGGTCCTGCTGGCGTCGAACGTGCCACTTTCGAATGTGTTGCTCTAGGTTTTCCCGGAGCTCAGAGCTGATTGGAAAACTCTCATGAAGGATGGCAGCGGCACCCTTGCCTTGGCAAAGGTTGGGAGAGGAGGGACAGTAACCCTCCTGAGGGCTTCGGACTGCTGAGGGAACAGCCCACCCATGTTCTAGGTGTTTCTTCGACAAGGGCCTTCCTGAGGGTTGAATTTCAGTTGCAATGGGTGACTGTGGGTTATGGGATGTAGAACAGCAGGATGCTCCACAGCCCCAAATGAGGGGCAGAGAAGGTGCTAACAGGATCGGGGAGGAGGATTGTGGGTGGGTCCGAGTCTGGGCCTGACCCAGAGCTGGGGGCTGGGGTTGGGGTGGGGAGCGCGGCTCCAGACAGGATGGATCCTGGGCCAGGGAAAGCAGCGGGGACATTTGATCCTGCGTGTGAACTGGGCAAACAGGTGGGATTCTGTTGAATAAGGTGGGAAGGTGTGGAACGGGAGGGTTCTGAGAGATCCCGGCAGCAGCTGTTACGGATTCACTGTGCAGAGAGGGCAGGCCACAGAAAATCGGGGTCCGTTTCTGCTGAAGGTGGGCCCCCAGGATCTTGGGACATGAGGGTTGCTGAGGACCGAGCTGCTGTTCTGGCATCTCGTTTGTGTCCCAGCAGGGAGGTGGGGTTGTGGCACAAGCGGGGGGACGTGGTGGGGAAAGGGAAAGTGGCTGGGGTGCAAGTCTTCCCAGGAGAAGCAGGGGCTCTGGGGTCTGAGAGGCGGTGAGGGGTGTGGGTGAACACACAAAATCGGAGGAGGTTGCTGATGGGCCTTGTGATGGAGAAGAGGCCAGAGATAGAAGGTGTGGAGTGAGAGGAGAGGGAGCTGCCTCTACCGGGGACAGAGTAGCAGGGTCTGCTTTCTTCCCATCTGGCTGTGGGGCTGTGACAGGTGCTCTGGTACCCGCATCAGCAGGGTGGTGTTGGTATACAGGATGTCGAGAGCCTCCTTGGCCAGGGAGCAGCCTCTGCAAGCTGTAATAAATAGAAGTTGTAACTGTAGCTAGGGGCTGGGGTGAGCTCAGTTGGGCCCTGGCCCTTCCACTGCCCCATACCCCAAGTCTATAGGTTTTCCTGCTATTCCTCGCCCCAGGGTCTTAACATCCCCCACTCCCGGGATCTCCCCCTCCCAGCTTAGAACAATGCTACTTGGTGCCATCACAGGCCTTAGAAGGAAGGAAGAAAGGGGAAAGTTCTTTACCTTTTCAGAAGGGGAATTAGCTGCTTATCCAATTTCTTGTAAATCTGGTAGTCTGCAAAAGGTGGGAAGTGGGAAACTGGGTTATAAAGGATGAAGGGTAAGGAAGGGATTGGGATTTTACAGGAGGCTGAAGGGAATGTCCCCTGAGAGGACACCATTGGAGGTCTGACTCCAGAGCCCAAGCGTCGGTGTCCAATGTCCTTTGGCCCTGACTCACAGTGGCTTCATGGTACACAGATGGGCAGTGCTTTGTCAGCACAAAGTGCTTCCCCATCCTTCAACATCCATGGTCCCCACAACTGTGCTTGCTGGACGGATGGGGTCATCTCACAAAGGAATCAGCCTCTGCCAATTGTAACAGCTGGGCCTCAGTTGGACCTGGGTGTCCCACTTGCAAACCCAGGCTGTACTGCTCCTCTGCTGCCTGTACTGCCCCCTACTGCACAAAACCCTTCTTTGTCCCAGCACAGCTTCATTCTGAGCAGGGAGCCTGAGAAGGATCCCCCCTGCTGATTGCAGTTGCAGGAGCCCCTCTCTGGAACTGGCATCCTTGGAGCCCTGGCATTGGTCCCTGAGGGATAAGCAAGGTCATGTTAGTTCCAAGACTACAGGACTGAAAGGTGTAGCCTTACCTAGGAGACCAGCTGTCCTCTTCCTTCTCCCTTTCTTCCACCTCATCCACACTGGATGCTAAGAAAGAAGGAAAGGAGTGAGAGACCCAGGTCCAACGCTCCTGTCTCTCAGACAGGCTGCAGACATTCAGTATTCATGAATATTATGCTGCTCCACAGTGAATTAATGAGACTATGTTTTTTCTTTCCTTTTACTTACTTTTTAAATTACAGTACTTTTTTCTGTCCTTGTAGAAACACACAGGAACTTTCTAACATGAGATTCCCCCATAAGGGGATCCCCTGCTCAAAAGATGAACTCATTTCTACAGCTGCATGTCAGC